ATATAGGGATGTCATTGATGTTACCAACACATACTATATATATATATAGGTGCGTGTGTGATAGCAATGTACTTATTTTGGCCCAGTTGGGCGAATGCCTTTCACCTGGCTAAAAGTGAACGCAGCCGAGAAGAGCTGCGGACATTTCAATTTCAATGCAAAATAGCTCAGACGCCCATGATGATGATGGGCAAAAAGGGGAGATAATGCCGCCGAGCGGAATGACAAGCACTGAGAGAAAAAAACTATACAAAAGAAAATTCCAAGTTAAGGTAAATTTCCCTTATCATTTTCACAAAAGTATCTCTTATTTCTTCCTGTGTAAATTCTACAGAGTTGGCGTTAAATATTACAACCACGCCGATGGTTTCGTCAACTTCAAACATTTCGCAGCATAAATATTACACACTGCCAGCCAGCAAATGAAAAGGGGGAAAGGCTGTGAAAGAGACAGCAAACGACAGAGATGGCCAGCATAGAAAGAGACAGAAAACACAGAATGCACAGAAAAACAGAAAACAGAGAGACTGGGCGATGGCCATAAAGAGAGGCTTATAAAGTATTCATTTGAACATGTTGGACCCAAATGCCTTTGAAGGGCAACAAAGAACCCGACTGGCCAGGCAAATGGAAACCATTTCGTCGACATTTCTATAAATTTCTATATAAAGTTTACCCAAGAAGAAGGCCAGGGGGATGTGTGTTGGGAAATTTATGCAAATTTCCAAATGTTCAACTGTTGCATAGTCTCCCGCCCTTAGCATAAGGGAAAGGAGAAAGCGATAGGTAAAATAGCAAACAACATTCGGGTTTTTCTGGGGCTGCTGCTGCTGCTTCTGCTGCTGCTGCCACGCCTGCTTAACCCTTTTCTGTTGGCATCTCTCTGACCTTCGCAATATTTATGCATGAGCACCTCCGCTTCACCCTCCACCGCAAGACATTGTTTTTCCTTGTTGAGACACTAAAATGGGGAAAATGATAAATGTAAGAAAATTTCCACTTTTTGGTTAAGATTTCCAAAGCGGAGTAGTACCAGAAAATCCTCTTTATCTATCAGTTAGATATATATTTATCAACAAAATTCGATAGGTAAAGCTTTTTGGCTTTTATTTTATAAATTTCACATTTGATTTTCAATGCCCCAGAGAGACATGCACTTCGGCCACTTAAAAATATGAACAATTCGAAATTCATTTGGGAGGCAATAAAATAATTCACAACTTTTGTCGAGTGGTGTGGGCGAAGGCACACGACTGCTAGTGCAAGGTAAACCAGACAACGAAGGCAACATGAAAATGAAAATGGAAAAGGCCAGGGAAGGGCAGAAAAGGGCAAAAGAGCAAAGGGAAAAGGGAGAGCGAGCCAACGAGTTGGACATAAATTGCGAAAAACTTGGGCGAAAATAATCCGGCGGAATCCCAAAATCATCGCACAGTTAGCTGGCACTTTCCAACACTTGCAAGCCAGCACACACACACACACACACACACACACACATGCAATAACAGTTACACACTAACACACAGACACACACACATGCATACAGTTATACAGTTACAGTTACATTTAACCAGCACTTTGCCCGCAACGCCCGCATTTTCCTACTACCAACCAATGGCACTTGAGTGCACTTAAACCCTGCCACGCCCTCTATAGCCCAACGCCCCAACCGCCCTTTGACCCCATGAACCGACCTCTCTCCTCATATGTTGATGCTGCAATTGCTACCGCTACTGCTACTGCTGCTGTTGCAGCAAAAAAAAACGAAAAAGCAAAACTAAAATATAATAAAATAAAAATATTATTATTATCCTTTCATTTTCAAGTGCTTGCCATTGTGTGCAAGTTGCATGAGCGCCGTTGGTGGGTGCATAAATTTATGATACCCCAATGGAAAAAACTCTAAAAAAAAAAAACTCACAGGATGCATGCTGCTGGATGCAGGATGCAGGACGTCGGATTCTGGAGCACATTAGTTGGCAAATTGGGGAACTAGTTCAATTAATCCGCCCGAGCGAAGTTCTCCGAGTGCGGGAAGGCTAAACAGGATGCCATCGAGTCCCCCCGAGCATGGCAATGGAAAAGTTTAGCGGTGCTCCACACTAACGAAAACTTTTCCACTGACAGAAATATAGCTAAGCAATAGTTATGAGGTGGTATGAGAGGAGAATATAGGTTAATTTGGACTATTCGTTAAGGTAAGTAAAACAAACTGCGATTTCTGATCCTAAAAAACTTGATTTAAACTTAGCTTTTCCTAGGGAAAACCCCCTCAAGATGCAAACACCTTTTTAAGGCTACGAAATTCATATATTCCCTACCGCCTCAAGGACCCACCGACTAATCAGATTGCCGTTCTTTTTCTTCTCCCTCGATCCATCTTTCAATCTATACGACATCCGCTTCGCTCATCTGACAACCGGAAGTGCCTTTTCCATTTCACTTCCTTGGCGCTGGCACACAAGAGCTCACCCGAGTACATGTGAATATTGCGAGTTGTACAATTTTTATAAGGACTCCCATAGTTGAAAAGTGCGGGAAATGGATGCGATACGAAATCGGAATGGGATTGGGGTTTGAGCTGGGCGCCATAAAAGGGATCCAGAAAAGGGGGTCTAGGGGTGGTCTTGGGGGCGTGTCGATGCAGTGGCTCGTATTTGCATGCAACATGGAATGAAAATGAATGATGGCGAGAGGTGGAGTAAATGGGGACAGCAACAAGCTGCATGTGTGTAAATCCATTTATGCTCCAGCGCATTTATAGCCAATTTAAAAGCCCAAAGAGCTGCACTTTTCCCCCAGACTACTGTGGGTGGGCGCTGTGGATGTTGGTGGGTAATGATAGTTGGCCCCTGGCCGGTTGAATATATCATTTACAGGGCGCTTCACTTGGATAAACAAGGTGGCCGGGCGGGCAGTAGTTGTAGTAGTAGCAGCAGTTGGTAGCAGTCCGTAGCGTTGATTTGTGGTAAATGACTCTCAACGACAGCCCCGCCAAGCCCGGCAAGCCCGGCGAGCTCGCCTTGAGCCGCACACACTTTGTGTCCCGGCAACACGTCCTGCCTGGGGTCCTGGGCATTCCATTTGCATTGCGGGCCATTTAATTGCGCAGTTGGCCCATGTTTTACGACCAATATGCATAACATGGCATCCACATTCGACATCCAAAAGTCGTTGGAAAAGCCAAAGAAATAACAAAAAAAAAAAAATAAACAAAAAGAAAGGAAAAAAAACTCGCAGAACAGAAATTGCTGCATACTTTTCTGCGCAAGCAGCGTCGAATATCCTCGCCTGAGAGCCCAGTTAACCCGCGACTAACTCGCTTAGCTATGCAAAATTACGCTTATTGAGGCGATGGAAATTGCAAAAGGAAAATATGGTGAAACGGATAAACACCCCCGCCTATCACAACTTGTTTGCTTTTCGTTTCTCAAATGCATTTTTGACTAAATCTCGTATATTTTCGGGAAAATTGTCCAAAAATAATGATTTTTAGATTTGAATTCAGATTTGTTAGGAATTAAAATACAAACTCAACGAGGTATTACATTCCATATTTGGGCCAATATTGGCTTAGTTGTAAGGAAAATTCAACAATTTTGGGAAGAAAATAGGGAGAAACCAAATTTCGTATCTTTCGATAAGGGCATCATCATCCTTTTTTGTAAAAAATTTACAAAATTAAAGATTTTTAGCTGTGAATGCATTTTTACTAGAAATTCAATTACGAGCTCAACGAGGTATTACATTCTAGATTTGGGTAACTATTGGCCAAGTTATGGGAATAATGCTGTCGCTTTGGGGAGGAAAAAAGGAGAAATGAAGTTTCGCATTTTCTGTAAGGGGTAACATCATCAAAATTCGCTAAAATTGCCCAAAAATCAAGATTTTAAGCTGTGAATGCAGTTTTGATGTAAATTTCATAACGATTACAACGAAGTATGACATTCCTTGTTCGAACCATTATTGGCGAAGCTATGGCCATGATACTGTCATCTTGAGGAGAAAAATGGTAGAAACAAAAGTTCGCATTTTCAATAAGGGGTACCATCATCATTTTTTGTAAAAATTGTCCAAAATTTTACATTTTTAGGTGTGAACACAGTTTTGTTAGAAATTTAAAAACGAATTCAACGAGGTATGACATTCCATATTTGGACCTATATTGGCCGAGTTATGGGAAAAATACTACCACTTTGGAGGAGAAATTGGGAAAAACGAAAGTCCACATTTTCGATAAGGGGTAACATCGTCTTTTTTATGAAAAATGACAAAACTGTTACAGTTTTAGGTGAGTTTGCAGATCTCATAAGAATTAGATAACAAACTCAGCGAGGTGATACAGTTTAAATTCGGACCATTATTGACCGAGCTATGGGAAAAATACTGCCCGTTGGGGGGAATACTCAATGACCAATGATAAGGGCTAACGAAAACTTAAATAAAGCCCCTTTGCTTATAGCCCTATCTTTTCTCATTACAGTATAAGTTCTTAATAAATATAGTAAATGGTCACCTTTAGTATCGATATGATTCCGATAACCGATGAACCAAGGTCAAACTAAAAGTAGAATAACCTGTTAGCATAAATCGTAGTTGCCTTACCAAATGCTCATCTTAAGTATCGAAATGATTCCGATAACCGATGAACTGAGGTTAGGCTAAGATATGAATAACTTCTTAACATAAATTGTGTTTGGCTTACTAAATGGTCACCTTAGGTATCGATATGATTCCGATAACCGATGAACTGAGAGTAAGCTGAGATAAGATCATAGCTGGTGAAGCATTTTTGGATTATAAGTTGAAAAATGAAATAAAAGAGACTTCTTGATATAAATTATAGTAGTAGGCTTACTCAATGGTCACCTTTAGTATCGATATGATTCCGATAACCGATAAACTGAGTTCAAGCCTAGTTAAGATCATGGCCTTAAAAGCTTTTTTATATTGAATTCATCCCTGAATTGGATTCATTCAATCAATTATTAATAACTCACTGGTTTAGGTTGCGCTCGTTGGAACCCGACTGGCTCTGGACGTTCTCCGTGTGACGACGCTCCTTGTGAACGATGCCCATCAGCTTCATCCATGGATTGTTCTGGGAGCCATGGCCTCCCATGCCGCCACTCTGCCACATGGTCATCTTGGCGGCTGTTTCCCAGAACCGGATCCGATCGAAACAGTGGCAGTGGGCAGTGGCAGCAGCCGCTGTTTATTTAGTTTTCCACCGAAACCGAAACGGAAAACTGTATACCGATACGGAAACGCACTCGCGACTTTACAGGAGAGGAGAAACCTTGCGTTTAAAGGGAACTTCAGATTCAGATTCAGATGTATATATCTTTTTATATATATATAGAGATATATATATAGAGAGGTTTAGAGGACAGATGCTTTAGGGCAAAAGTTGAGACTGCGTTGTCGTTGTGTTTGGCAGCCGCATCAATGGATTTTTTGTGTATTTCTTTTTTAGTTTGAACGCCGCCGTCTCACATTTGTCAAAGCCGAGAGTTTGGTTTTGGTTTTTGGATGGAATTGAACTAAGAGTTTGTTTTTTTTTTTTTTTTTTTGCTAATGCTTTTTAAGTTTCTTGGGCGGCTAATGTTGCTTTTGCTTCTCTCGTTTTGCTTTTGCTTTGCTTTTTGGTCGTTTTTGGTATTTTTGTGAGCAACGAACGATTCTCCTCTTCGAATTTTGCTTATTTCGTTTTTTTTTTTTGTTTTTTGGTTTTTTAGTTTTTTGGTTTCTTGGGCCTACGTCTAAAATTAATAATCACAATGGGCGTACAACTTATCCGTTTTTCCTCGTCGATATTTCCGTTTTTGTTAACCAATTTTTAATGCTAATTATTGTTGGGTCTCTGCTTTGCTTGTTATTTCCAGCCTCCGTTTGGGTTCATTAAATTTAGTATGCAAAAATTTCTCTCCTTGTATATTTTGTCTTCTAGCTAAATTTTGCTGGCCAAAGGTTCTAAATATCGAATGGATTTAACCAATTAATGATCTTTACTTTTACTTTAAGCGATAGTCGAGCAATGGACGACTATTTGCTACCCAAAACTCTTTGAATTTTCATTTACAAAGTTAACTTTAAAGTTAAGTTTAGTGTTTAATATTTAAATCGGACAAACTGATGATTAAAACGAGAAGAAACGAAGAAGAGTTATGGGGGGCACTTGGCAAAATCATACATATTTACAATTTATCCGTAGGTATGTACAACATTTGCTTCCAATTACAACTTTTGACTAGTTATTTGCTTTTTACGATTGCTTTTTGGTTGACTTGTTTGTTGTTTGTTGTTGTTGTTGTTGTAGTGATAGGTGTAGTTGTTTTTGTTGCTGATATAGTGCATAGGGCAGGAAGGCGGTTTCAAACAACGATATGAAAATTTACGAGCACAGTCTGCTGAAAATATAAGGAAAAATCGAAATTAGATATTTGTTAACTTTAAATTGTAAAAGAAAGTCTTAAAATTAAGTTATTTTTAATAAATTTTAACTTAAACTTTAAGTTACGTTACTTATAAAATCACTTCTTTAACATTAACTTAGATAAATTTATACGATTTTCTAGGTTTTGGCTATAAAATATACATTAATTACCATTACCAGTTAGTTACTATATCTGGTATTTATACCTCCACCTGTTTGCCCTTAAGTGTTAACCATAATTTCCACCCACTTATAAACAAAAAGCCAAACGCATTAGCATATGGGTCCCATTGATGTTGCTCCCCAGAAGCCAGCCAGCCAGCCAGCCAAAAACAAAGCTCTCCATTCGGTTCCATTATGTAGCAACGACTCGAATCATCGCCAAATGGGAATCATCATTTGGCTTATGGAGAATGTCTCAATATATTTGCAATTTTCAATGTTCAAAGTGGGGGGAGTGTTTTCACCGCCTCCCTTGGAAAATCTGACAAGTCAAATGGTGGGAAGGAAAGGGAGAGTACGAAGAGATTGTCCGATTCTGTCAGTCTGCTAAGTACTCTGAAGCACACCCACATCCATTCCCACACACACACACACACACACACACACACACTGTTACACTACCACGTTTTTGGGGACTCGAGCGTGTGCACATTTGCAATGCCATCAACGTCGCATCGAGCACATTAAGAAACCATTCCACCTCAGATCACACTCTCCATAGTCATCGGCATCGTCATCGTCATAGCCATAGCCATAGCCATCGTCATACCCATTCCCATTTCCTCATACAGATCTCCCCACATCCAACCTCATCCACCATTCCCATTCCCATCCCTCCAACGATGTCTGGCTGTGCCGTTAGCAAACTCATTCCCGCCCAGCTGGACACCAGTTAAAGCCTCAGAATACATAATTATAAAATCGACAACCAAGAGCGCAAAAATCGTGTATCCAGCTGTGAGATACTCACTAAATGGATTTATTATTTCAACAGACAAAAGGCAAGAAAGTGTTTTTGCATTTTTTGGTTTTGTGACAAAACAAAAATCCACAACCATTGTTGAATATTTCTTTATAGATATATACAGAAAACTAAGCCAGAAAAGGAGGAAATTCAAAGCTAATCTTTTGGTAGTTTCATTTTAAATATAACCAATTCCCTAACAAGTACCAAAACTGCCTAATTAAAACATTTAAATTGCCATAAAAAAAGCCAACTTACTTCTTAACTTCTAACTAAAAAGCTAATTTGCAACACTGTTATTCAGTTTTGTAAGCAATTTGGCATTCAGAGATATTCCTTTCACGCCCGAGTTGAAGAAAAAGAAGGCGAAGAGATTGCCATCATGGGTTAAACAAAGGCAACTCGAACAGCAGCTTCCGTTTGAGCGCTGCAGTTTCATATATCCACTTTCCACTCTCCACTTTCCAGTTGCAGCTTCTCTGGCAGCTTCTGTTTTTAAGCTTGCAGCAACATGAAGCATTTAACCGTTCGCCATTCACCAATTTTGTCAGATTGCAAAGTTCACTCGAGCGTGCGGCATTCAGGATTTAGCTGGAGATGGATGCTGCAGCGCGCCAGCAGATGGAGATGAAGGATGAGCTGCGGATTCTAAAGCCCTCCCCCTTCTCTTCTCCTCCTCACCTCCTTTTTTTTTATCGCTTTTGTTGCAGTTTGTCGCCTGTCGACTGACGAGTGTCGCCTGTAGCCAGGCAACTTGCAACGCCTCAACTCGACGATCTGTCAACGTCAACGGTGCGTATGATAAATTTTTATTGTGCATCTGCCATGAATCCCTTTCTGTTCGTTCTTCTTTGCCACACCAAGCACTTTTCCACCATGCCCACCCTGCCATTTGACATTTCCCATATCCCATTTTCCACTTGGCCACTGCAATTTAAACTAATTACGCCCGAGTCTCTATACAAATATATTGTCATGCCAACCGTTGGCCCCACAATCTCTATTATTTACACAAAAATTATATCGTATTATGAGCACCAGCACCTGGTCAAACTGGAGGATGAGAGGATGGAGGCTAGTGCCCAGTGGCAAGAAGGGATGGGATTATAAGGCATGTCCAATGCTCTCACAGAGCAGCTGCAATAAATAACCAGGAAAAGGGAACAAAAAATTGTGGGGAAAAAAGCAAAGAAAAGAAGGCAAACAGAAAAAAGCTAGCAGAAATGAAGGAAAAGCAAAGACTGAAAGAGCATTTAATGCAGTTATCTATGCACTTTCCATAGAAGAGTCCTTCAGCTAACTTATCTAAATTAGGTAAATTTTCCTTTAAGGCTTTAAATTTCTTAATTTTTGAAGTCTAAAGACTGCCAGTTTCTTCTAACAGGTTTCTTACTTACAAATATCTGCAAACTAAAACGAACCCCAAGTCGAATACCCCTTGGTTAGAGTATAGATAGAAGCACCACCTACTGATTGAATTGTCTCTTTTTTATTCCGCCCTTTTTAAAAAGCATTCACAGCGAGCCTGAACTCCTGAACTCTGCCCACTCGTGCCGCCCTTTTGGTGCCTGCATCCTGCTATTAATTTGATAAGCCAAAGGTGGGTCCGCAATTAGCCGGAAGACCAGGAGGAGCTCGAACAGCCTGGCCTGAAATTTAAATAGGCTGGTAATTAAGCGACGTTGTCACCTTGACACCTAGGGGACTGGGCGAAGAACCTACCCCCCCTCAAAAAAAAAAGGAAACTCTCGCATGGGAAAAACTTTGGCAGCGAAAAAGGCGAAAATTTAAATGCGATAGCGAGGGGAGAGGGCAAAGTTCAATCAGTAAACGGTTAACGCTTACGGCAATTAACTCGATAATAATGGACAATATTGCCGTGGGAAATCGGAAAAGTGCTTTAAATTATGGTTAACCCCGACGAAGTGTAAAAGTAAAATTGTTAACTGCCGCACCTTCTGAATATTCAATTCATTGTTTTTAAGACTCAATAAGGATATCCACACCTATGCTATTAATTAATATTAAGTCTTAAATATTAAATCGAAAGAATTCCCCTTTGATTTTCCATTTACTGCGATAACCAACCACTTTATCCATCGGTACTCGCTTGGCTGACTTTCCAGATTAAGCTTTTCCGACTCCCTCGCTGTCTCCAGCAAAGTCCCCAAAGGCATTGGTGTCTTCTCACCTCGGCCAGGGAAATCCCGAATCCTTGGAATTCCCCTAGCCTTGCCCATCCAATGCCTCATCCTTGGAGAATACGGCGTGACACCTCAGCCCCCTCCCCTTTGGATAGTTTCCTGCCACGCGCAACTTGACGGGGGATTTTCGGTAAACATTTTTGGCCAACGCTAAGCTCCCCCATTGAATATTTAATTAGGGAAATTATGGCGGGGCCAGAGGAAAGGATTTCTATCCGGCCACCTGAGTTGCCCGGGCAGCTGGCAGCCCACAGAAAAACAAAAATAGGAAACACTCTGGTTGCCAGGAGTCGTGTTGGATCAATAGCAACGTGGCAAAAGGATCCATTTGCAAGGGAGGACACCTCGGGATAAGATGGTAGGCCACGGGTCAAATGCCCAGCTTAGAGCTAATGAAGATGCTAATTACCATAATGATGATAATGATGATGATGATGCAAATTTCATGACAACAACAACAACAGCCGCCCAAAAAGAAGCTTTCGAAGAAGGAGAAGGCCCGTCTGGAGGCCGAGCAGGCTGAGCTCATGCGAATTGAAATGGAGAAGGAAAAGTAAGTTTCAGTTTTAGTTTAACTTTTAACTCTTTTCCAAAGAAAGAAGTTTAAAAATCTGACTAATCCCCCCACAGACTTAAAAAGCTGGAGGAGGCCCGTCAGCGCAAGAAACTAGAGATGGAGCAGGCCAAGCACCGGCAGCAACAGGAGGTGGCCGAAAACCGGAAACGGCGATCGCAACTCAAGGACAGCATGCTCTTCTTCGACGCCGTGCGAACGGCCATCGAAGCCATCAAAGATGGCGAGCGGCACGAACGGGACTGGGAGAAGTTCATGCGTTGCAATGGCCTGCCAAATGCGGCCAGTCCCAGTGACCTGCGCAAGTACATCCATCAGTGGCACACGGACATAGCCAAGCGTCAACTGGAGTCCCGCAACTGGCTCCTGCGCACCGATGAACGAACTCTACTGACCCAAGATGCCCAGGTGCCGGATCTCACGAGGATTTCACTGCGCCAACAGCAGGGACGACTGGGCGATGTCTACTCGCAGAGGATTAAGGAGGTTCTGGGGGTGGGAATCTTTCAAACTCTTTCTAGATATTTCTTAGGACTCTCTATATATATCACAGATTCTCAATGAGTTGGATGAAATGCTGCCTTTCAAGCAGAAATCCGCCATGATTGCCGCTGATTTGGTTAAACTAAAGACTGAGATGAGGGTCTTCCTCAAGCAACATCTCGATGAGTTCACCTACAAGACCATGTCGCATATAGAAAGGGATATGGAGTAGGTTTCTGATAAATCTATATATATATCTATATCTCTGAATCATAACAGAACATAACTTCCCTATAGAATCGATAGACCAGGAGTCTCAAAACACATCTACAGCTCGGATGTCTTCCAGAGCTTCGTTTGGACCTTCTCCAAGGATGCTCAAATGTGAGTTTCCATATTGGAAAGTCCACTTCTTAGCCATATTTTAATCTTATTCCACAGAGCCCTTAACCCAAAAGCACGAATTGGCGAACAATCTGCCCACAATGAGATCGATTTTCCCACCATTGAAATGCAAATCTCACTGCCACCCACGGTCTACCTTCAGAGTTCAGCCTTGCGAGGTCTCTGGCTGAACTATGACCACTTCAGTGACTACTGCAGCAGCTATTGCTTGAAGCATGCACGATCTGCCAATGCCAGTAAGATACATTTGCTTAGGTACTTTCCACTGCTAAGATACTAAGATACTTCTTCTTGCCACAGATATCCTGCGGCAAACAAAGCGGGAGTGGCGCAAACGCAAAGAGATCCTGCAGGCGATGCTGGACGAGTGCGGCAGGGAAATTCCACTCTCAGAGTTAGAACAGCTCACCCAGGACCAGCACTCGGCCAGTTCGCAGCCGCCGCGGGAACGCACCTACGATGTGGATAAACTTTATGCAGAGTACGAGGATGAGCTGAGCAAGGCCCATCGCAGGGCCATTGGACCCGAAGCCTATGGAATGCTAGAGACGGACGTCAATCTACGGAAATATCGCATCATTGGCGGTGTCTACTGCATCGACTTCCTGGAAACACCACAGCAGGATAAGCAGCTAAATGCCAGATCCTTCATTCGAACCAGTTGAGTTTCCACTTCAGATTAGTTTATATTAACCTTAACTATGAAACTACTTTTAGTAACTTCGGCCAACAGTTTGGTGCACAAGGAATACTACCAGACCTACAAGCCACCGCCTCCGGTTCTGCCAGGTGTAAGACGACTGCCCGAAGAGATTGAGGCTGAAATGCGAATGATTGAAGCGGCCCTGGACAAACTGGCATTGGTCACTCTGCAGTAAGTATTTCCATTACCGAAAACCAACTCAATTCCTAATAAGAAACCCCCAAAGACTACCCGATTCTGTGATTTGGTTTGAGCCACCTGTGGCCTGTCGCTGGGAAACCAATGTAGAAACTCTAGAAATGGAGCTAGCCGATGGCATAAAGCCGGAGGTTAAGAAACCAACCGAGGATGCTGATGGAGAGGGGGATGCCACGGGTGCTGTCAGTGGAACGGCGGCTGCTACAACAGCCACGCCTACTGAAGCCACTCCGCTGTCCACCCACGCCCAAGCCAGTCCCCTTAAAAGTTCACCTCGCTGCCCAGCCCGCATGCGTTCCCAGAAATCAGACATTCCTGGTGAATCCCAACAGCAGATACTTCGGGAAATCAATGACTTTGATCTGCGGGCCATTCCCAGCAATGTGGATTTATACGGTCTGGTCAAGGATTTTGTGGTTCCACGTCTGCCCCAAGGATTCTGCGTTCGCATTGAGCAATCGACCCCGATTATGTCCACCGGCATGAGACAGCGAAAGGTAATGTTTCTAGCTCGGCAAACCCACATTCGATTGGGTCAGGGATTGGGTTTGGGTAAAGATCTGAAAGATGATCAGCTGGCGATACCCAAGGAACTGCAGAAGCTTCAGTTGAATGCCAAGACCGGTCTGGGATCTGAGTTTCTGGACACTGAGGAACCCGCCGAGATGTTTCCGCCTCTCTGCTTCGATAAGCTTCTGAAGTTCCGGCAAATGGCTCCACGGAATAAGCCACCTGCCCACCACCAAGGCTATCTGTTCTCCCAGTTAATTGAGGACATGGACCGACTTTGGCGATTGCAGTTGCCCAGAGATCAGCAGGAGGAACTCATCCAGCAAATATCCGAGCAGCTATCGCCCACTGGTTCGCGATCCAGTGAGTCGGGTGAGTTTTATCTATGGAGAGCCAGGGTTTCTACCCTAAGAGATCCTAACTTGCAGGTGAAAAGGCACCCAAAGAGGCAGAAACTGATGGAGATCTTCAGGAGAACATGCAACCACTTAGCCAGGAGCTAGTGGATGTCCTGCAACCTGCCGCAGCAGCCGCTGCCTTTGCCTACTACACGGGTATATCCTTTGTCCGGGACTCACAGCTGCCACCAGAACCAGAACCAGAGACCACAGCCAAACGCTCTAACAGCATGGATAGCAGTGAGGACGACGACGATGATGTGGATAGCCTGGTGGAGCTTCTCGAAGGTGGCACCTCCACGGCAGCCAACACTCTCCACGACCTGCTGGGTCCACCGACAAACAGTGACAGCAGTGACAGCGAAAGGTATGCAAGAACAAGGTTGACACGTCTGATTGATCGATCTGAGTTCCGTTCAATCATTGAGGGAGGGGGAAAATCCTCGAAAGGATGGTTAAAACTTCAACAACCTGCAGTGCCCCGCAAACATTGATATATATTTTATATTTAAATTTAAACGAATAGCAAACAGAAAATGAGCAATGCGGCAGCCATAACCCAGGGCAAGTGGAGCACCCGCGATGTCCACGACACCAAGTTCAACGAGGACAAGCTCTCGATACAGTTTCGAACTGGAAGATTGGGTAAGCATCCTTAGGCTTAAATATTTCTTAAACTCAACATAATTCTTCTTTAATTTTTAGGAATCTTTGGTTTTGCTTTGAATAAATACAGCAATATGCCCTATCAGACTTGGGACTTACGCCCAGATATGAAAAAGTTAGCTAAAAATATCTTAAAGTTCTTCCCATTCTAACTTTCTTGTCCTCTAGTCCTGGCACTATCATCTTTAGTTTTACTGCCTCTCTGATCAGTCTGGATATGACTATAACCGAATCGGGCTATACGGTTAATAACTTTCAGGGCGGCAGTACTCAAGGCATCACCGATATGATTGGGAAAACATTATCCCTGACAGAGCTTAAGGCCACGCTGATTCTATCTGCGGTGGATATTTTCCCGGATGAGGATGCCTTCTGCTATACAGAGGGATCCTGTGAGAAGAACTACGTCATGGAGATGCACTGCTATGCGTGTCTCTCGACTCTAGCTCAATCGCACAATTTCAGTTGGTCTCGATGGAATCTTTTGGCCGGTTCCCGGACTGCTGTCCTGTTGGTTCGCGAACTAATCGAGGGCAAGAAGGTGCCTTACTACTCCACATTGCTGGTTACTCCCCTTAAGACTTCGATTATTGATTGTACGGAAGTATCAGCCAGTTTTAATGCTGTTGGAATTCCAGGAATGGAATACTATGCCGATCTCTATCAGCTATCACAGGCTCATTCGCAGCCAGGCAGTCTGGAGAAACAGAGGACCATGAGCCCTGTTCTAAGGGACAATGTGGCCAAGATTCTAATGGCCATTCGACCACTGAGCTTGTGTTGATAAACAATAAATCAATATTAATAATGGGAAAATAATAAATTTCATTTCATACGTCATTGGTAAAACGTAGATTTACATGAACTTTGCAAATTCCTTCTTCCTGCACAAAGGCCTCTGTGTTGGCATATTAGATTTAATGTTAAATATTCTATGCATAGCGTACATAATGCAGAGCCATATCGATAATTCAGCTTTTTATCCACTTAGGAATAGCGCTTAGCCACAAAGGCATCATCAATCTCTAACGAAATTGTCTCCCTCTCCAATTATAATACATTTCCATTGTCAGCAGTTTGTCTCTTCCCTTATGGACCTTTCTTGTATGCCCCACCCACCATTAGTTACCATTCCTACAGTACTCCCCCACTACCACAACCACAACCACTCACACTCACTCACACACAGACCCCTTACAAAGGCAGCACAATTAACATATTCACTGCGAGCTTATCCCTTAATGCTCGCTTGGGCCTCTTGCCATTTTTTCACTTTGCCCGTCATTCCATTTTCGTCCTGAGGCGAAAAAGGAAGAAGCGGTTAAGGAGCAGGAAGAGGAGAAAATAAACAAGAAGAATTATATATCCAACTATTAAATACCCTGGGATTTGTCTCTTAAAGAACGGACATCTGTTGATTTTCAAAGTGTAAATCGTAGCATACTTTTCAGCATCTTCTAAACAAACCTCAATCCTGCATAGATTTCCATTACAAGACTTTAAGTTCTATAATAATTTCTCATATAATTCACAATTTCTATATACCTTTTACCTCTACAAGTAACGAGAAAAGCGACCACGCTGCGTATACGCAGCTTGCGTGTGGTGGGTGGTTATATTTTTCTGGTTTTCCCACTTTTTGGAGGCTGGGGGTTAACTTCCCGTTTATTGTGGCCGCCAGTGAAGGTCGCACAGCGCAATTGGCGCCAAGCTGTCTGACAACTGCGTCAACTGAAATGCCTCCACAACACCTCCACCACCCCCCCTCCCTTTTTTTCTCTCTTTAGCTGTCGTTTGTTTTGTTAATGAGCAAGTCCGCCCGAGGCCCCCTGATCCCCCGGAACCGACCATCCAACAGCGCCGTTTTCCATATGCATAAATAAATAATTAAAAAGTATTTGTCTTTCCCAAATTGAATTGAATGCGAACTGGGAATTTAGGTTGGAGGTTGGTTAAAAGTTTTCAATGCAGAAATCTCAAATACCCTTCGCTGGCAATAAATAAACTTTTTTAAATGTATTAAATTTCTAGAAAATAAAATGCTTAGATAAGAATATTTGTTCTAGCATTTTATCTATTTATCAGATTTCTTAATACTTTTCCTATCTTTTTAGAGTGAACCTACGAATCAACCTAGGTTGATTTTGACCCTCTCCCCTAAACCGTTGGCCCGTTGACAGATTTGTGCTGCAATTGCGGTTTGTGTTTCGGATTGTTGTGCAACAACAACAAGGACAAGGATATGAAACCACACTGTTATGCCAGCCCACTTTTCAGTCACGACCGCTCCTGATCCCTTTTGGCCTAATCGCATATAAATTACCACTGATGTGGCTGTTTTTGATTTTTTGTTGTTAGATTTTCTTTTTTTGGGGGGAGCTTACCGTCCGTGGTCGGAAGGCAAGTGTGAACTTTGTTTCCGTTTCCGGTTTTGACACCTGTACCCGGGGTAACCGTTTCCTATTTCCCGTTTAACCGCACATACACCTGTCGGATACCCGGCTAAAAATGCCATTTATTCACCATTTATTTCGATTGGCTACACTAATTTCGGTTGTAAACATTTGTTTTGGCTTGCCTAAACAGATTTTTGCATAAATTAAATATTTGCCACACTTTACAGAATTATCTCCTCGAATCTCATGACCATTTTCGAGTGGGGGGGGCTTTATTTAATTCGATGCCATACATTTGCCAAGTCAAATCCATTTTCCTGGCACATACCGAGTACGAGTATTACATGTGTTAAGTGTAAAGCATAACTATGCAAATGTCCACCCCAGCGTGTGGCTGTGTGCGTAAATAATGTTTGTGCTTTAATCAAGACAGCACTAAAATTCGTGTTACCTGGCATCAACAATAAATCTGGTTTTTCTCTTATTTTTATTTTTATTCCTATGTTTTCTCCCAGCTTTTTCTGCACAATCTTAACAACGGAGAACATGTGTGTGTGTGTGTTTGGTTGCGTTTGTAAGTGTGCGACTTTAATGCGATGCTTTTGTAGCACACATACGAGGACATGCCGTTAAATCCGCAGGCGGCGCGCAAAAGTATGCTACGTAATTTAAGTTAATAGCCGACTTGCACACACGCACACACACACAAACACAGGCAAATACAGTGAAAAGGAGAGGTAGTAGGATAGAGTGAGCGAGCGAGACACACACACACACGCATTCAGAGCTCCGCGTCTGTTCAAATTACAATTCATTATGTACAGGTGGCGAGCGAGTGAGTGTGTGCACACGGTGAGTACGAGTAGGTGCACTGCAAAACCCCCTTTAAGACCCTATAAATCTTCAATGTAAATTATTAAAAGAAAGTTATAGGGTTAAAATGAGTTTTACATCACTTTCGAAGGTGTCTAACAACATATTTAAGCTGATCCGAGGTTTAGAAGAAGAACTAACGAAATCAAAAATCAGAAAAACATTTCAAGTTTATGCTCAGTGTAGCTCTGCTGTGTGAGTGAGATGGAGCATTGTCAAGCAGCGCGCGGTTATGACGCAAGCAGGCTTTAAGCCCCAGCAGAAACGCGGCAGAGGCTGCGGCAGAGACTTCCGCATGCGACACTTGAAATGTCGCTGCTTCTGCTCCTTCTGCTTGCCACTGCTTGCCTTGATTACAGTTGCAAGACACTTCAACTGCAGGGTAAAAACGGTTGTATAGAAAAACCCAACTCCTCCACATAAAAACTGTTTTATCCAAAAAAAAGAAAAAACCTTGGATTTCATGATGCCACAATTGCTGGCAGTAAGTACCTAATATTAGAAATCTCTAGCAGATTGCAATCACTTAAAAAGATATCCAAAAGTATGCTATAATATATATTGAGTCCAGCAGAAGTATAGATAAATGCCAAAAGGCAACGATGTTTCAAGTATTTTTGAGACCCTTTTATGGGATTAAAAGCCAGAAGAAGTAGAAGTATCTCGTATCTAAGCACAAATTGATATCTGGGCCTGATCTGATCATATAAGGATACGAAATCTAGGATAACCACATCTATATTCCGCGAATCAATGCTTAAGTATAGGGTAACGAGCCCGTTGCATTCGTTATTTCCAACCACTCTATATTTTTTGCATTGTGTTTCAGCAATTTGCGTCAAATTTTGAGTTTAAGTGTCAATTACAGCAACAAAAACATCGCGAGACATGGCAAAAAAGAAATACAAAATGAAGAAGAAAAAACGAAGAACGATGGCAAATGACAGAAGGAGACGGAGATAGGCGCTTTACACATCTCGTCTACCTTTCATCGAGGGGCTAAGAAGAAAAGGGAGCGAGTGTCACCTACGTGCTTGTCAAGTTGACAGCCTTCTTTTTTTTTGTGTTTTGCTTTTTCGCCTTTGCCTTTCTTGTTTCCCTTTTTTACCTTCTTTGGTTTCGTTTCGTTTTTAACCTCAATTTACAACGTCTCTGATGCTGGGCAGGTGTGTGCCTTGAAATCTATATGTGTGTTAGTGTGTGGGTATGTTTTGGTGTGTTTAAAATTTGACTTGCTCGAGTCTTTTTCGCCCTCTATATCCCCTGCACTTTGGCCTCCCTATGCTTCGGCCCTTTTCTGCCCTTTTCTTCACTTGACAGCGACGACTTTTGACTTTCTGCGCTGGCATTTTGACACAGTTGATTACAGCGCCACCTAGCGGCCGTCGCACGCAGCGCGGCAAGTGTGTGCGAGTAAGATGGCGAATGGCGAACGGCGAACGGCGAACGACTACGGCAGCGGCAGAGGCAATATTTATGCAAATGGCCCAGAGACATGTTTCCTTCTCGCTCGCTCGAAAGTTTGTCATTCATTTTGGTTCTTGCACATGCACATGCACAGGCAACCACATGTCCTCGCACGCACACACACACATATATATATATATGTATACACTTAGCTGAACACACAGACAGGGACATGAACATACGAGAAGCGAGATAGCAGCAAGTGAGATGCATATGCGGTGTCCTAAGAGCATTATTCCGCATGAGCTACCAAATTGCATTCCGAAATTTATGTATTTCATTTGAATTCAGTTCGGCTTTGGGCTTTAATCAGCGTGTGAGAGATTGAAAAAGTTGCCAATTCAAAACTATACACGCACTCAAATAACAATTTGCAATATATCACCAAAAAGTACTGTCAATTTATGTAGATCTAAACGTATACGAAGTCTGCATGTGTTCGGTTTGGCTATTTCATATTACTATTATTATTTATTACCAAATATGCAATTCAAAACTGTTGATTATTTAGGATTCGGTATTCTATATAGCATATGGACTCCCTGGCAGGGCAATAAATAAGTCTAAAGACCTCAAGGGACTTAAATAGAAGAGCAAAGAAAAGTTAGGGGCTATTATTTTTACAGAAATATAATAATAAACGGGTTAAAGTTCAAAAACAGTTGCTTTGTAAAGTTCTGTGAGCATTTTAAACTAGTTTTTCAATTTTATACGAACGTGACAGATGCTCTTTGGAGTTTTTTGGGCGATTCTATCGACTATATCTTAAGCACTTGTGCACGGCATCAATATTTCATGGGGTCTCTTCTCCAGTCGTTTCCAGACTTAATTTAAGAGTATGGTTGAATTTCTTGCTTTCCGTTTTGTTTTTTCTCGTTTTCTTTGTCGGAAAAATATTTGTCGAAAAGCGAGCTACAAAATATTTATGCAAGGCTGCCCCCTACATCTCTTCTATCCTTCCGTTTCCTTCTCTCTGCCTATCTCTGTGTCTGTGTGGCCCTCTTGCTCCCACACATGTAGATAAGTCGGGCATCTGCACGTACCGCAATTGCAGAGAGCTAACGGTAAACAAAGCGAACCAAAGAAAACAGCCCAAAAGAAGACGAGCAGAACGAGAGAGAGAGAGAGAGGTGAAGTGGCGGAAAGGAAGCAAAAAGAAAAAGACAAGATAGACGTGGGGAGAGAAAGGGACGTGGTTGAGGAATTATTGCCCCAGCTGATGAAAAAGGAAATGACCACAAATTGCCGTGGGAATGTGTGTGAGTGTGTGTGTGTACGACCACGTGCATGTATATAGGTTATTTAACGTATTTAATTTCCCTCTCTCTTTCACCCACAACACAGGCAATACGTAGGACACGATTTTGCAGGACCATTCCTTGGATCTCCTTTTGCGCTCAAGACGTGCCGAAATTCCACAGCTACCCATCAGCTATCCCCATTTCGGGTATAACATTCTCAGGGTAAGCAATTTTTATCTCTCTCCATTGAATTCCCTATAAAACCAGACATTAAAAGTCATTACTTTTACCACAAACTAATATTTTAATTGTAAACTCGTTGGGGAAAATGTGTTTATCAACCTTTTAGGAATTCCAATTACCAATTTTGGGAAAAATCAGTTAGCTTACTTTGGAAAATTGTAGTTAAAATGAGTAACAACAAACTGCTGTATGAAACTGAAATGCCTCGAGCAACTTTTCTCCACTTCCGCTTACTGGCTTTTCTCTGTTTTTCTGCTGCTTTTTTTTTTTTTGTTGCCTCTCCCCCTTGTCCCTCCCTTTACTTGCTGCGTGTGTGTTCGCCTGTTAGAAAATAATTAAAACTTTTCGTGATTTCGTGCCAGTGTAGCTGCGATTTTTCTCAATTTAAAATGAATTCGAGCGGCAGCAGCAGAGGCAGAGCAAAGGCAGCAACAAAGTGCTGAATGTCTGCAGCTGCTGCCATGTTGCACATGCATTTGTGTGCGTGTGGCGCAAGGACCAAGTTTACAATCCGTAAACCTAAACCTAAACCTAACCCTAAGCCATTCATACTCCCTCCCATCGTCACCCAGTTTTTGATTAGTTATTGTTGCAAGCATATATGTGTGTATGTGCCAAACGAAAGCTGAAAACTGAAAACTGAAAGCCTCCCCAACTTGCCACCCAAATTTTCTACCAACCTCCCTTTACGGTTGGTCTCACAATATTCGTGCAGCTTTTGATTAGCAGCAATTTTATTCGCTTTTTTACTTAGTTGCGTTTTTAGCACTTCCTAACTTCAGTAACTCCCCTGATTTCTTGACTTTTCCACCTGTTGACAATGCTAAGCAATGGCATTATCGATTGTGCGTGAAAAACTGGAAAAGTCTATGTACCCTTTTTGACTTTAGTGAATACTATTTGAAAAACCTAGGCCGAAGCTTTCCATCTCTTTGTCAACGTAAACTCTAAAAATAAACTACTTAAAAAGGAACGAGAGTGAAATTAAAATGATATCAAAGAGATCAAAGGGAAGAAGACGCAAATGGAAAACAAAACTTTTTGGTAGGTCCCTAAGTAAACTGTTAACTAAGAGAATTTATAGCCAAAATATAATATACTTTAAAACAGAAGCATATACGTACGTCTAGGACATAAGCTAACACACCAATCACCAAAAATAATTATTAAAAGGAATGCAAAAATGTTAACAAAATAAAATACTTTCCTCTCCTTCTAACACCTTTACTTTCCAAGAACCTTGAACTTCAGTCTTATCAGCTGCCCTTCCATTCACTTTCCAGTCAGAAACCGTTAGTTACAGCAAGCAAAATGAAAATTTTCAAAGAGTTTATATTACTTTTTAATCAAAGTAGGATTTCGGCAAACGGACTTACTTGAAAACGGAAATTGAATATGTAATACTTTATAGTTTACAGCTAACTGATTGCGTTTGTGATTACTTTTTGTTGGTTTTCAATTTGTTAACGATTTACGATGTTGCATCTCACTCTGACATTTTACGACATTCTCAATGCCATCGCAAAAAAGAAAAGTAGGAGAAATCAAGGAGTGAAATGGGCATGGTTGCTGCTTATCGATGGACACGCGCGTACTATAAAATGTCTTGAATATTGCCCGATGATGACAGGGCCAAAGTTGCGTACACACTGAGAGAAATGCCTAAGAAATATTAACACCAAATTTAATACAACTCAAGGTCTTGTAAGGACAAGCAGTTCAGTTTTCCCTTACCTACAAATCACTTCATTTTACAAATTCTACTATATCATAGTATACCTGATATTTCTCCATGTTTACGCACGTACGCCTTGTCTTTCGCTATTTGCTTCCCTTCAGACGGAGTACATGCGTTATCTAGTGGAAGTAGGCCATGGAGATAGTCCATAAATTAATCGATTCCTATGGCCAAAGATGTCAGCAAACATGGAAGGGTATCGCAAGGTCATCTGCAGCTTAGCTTGGTTTTCTTCTATCATTTCATTTTGTTTTTTGTTTTAGTTTTTAGCTGTATTTTATATTTCGTCTCTGCTTAACGCCCCGCTTCTCTTCTTCTCCTTTTTGCTGTTGTTGTTCTTGATTTGCTGGGTGTGTCGTTGAACTAAACTCCTCTATAAATATAAATATCAACGGCGATTTATCGTCTGTCTGTCTTTACGTCCCGCTGTCTATATCTCATGTGCGTTTGTGAGCGTCTTTGCGTGGGCCAATAAAACACATGCTAGAAACAGAAGCGTCCACTTTTGATCGCTTCTCTAGGCCCAATTTCCAATTGACTTCATTTCGCTTTGCCAATTTGTTTTGGGCGACAGAAAGAGAGGAGAGAGCGCGCGCTAAGGAAAGCAACGGAAAGCGGGCGAAGAGAATGAGCGCAAGAAGAAGTGAATGAGGTGAGGTGAGAACTATTTAACTGTACTAAATTGTTTTTATCTCTTCTTACCCTTGAATTTCAACATATTGGAAGCTTTGCTTTGTTAAAGGGGAAGGGGGAATATTAGAATAGATCTTATCAAGGTTTTTGGCTACAATTTACACTTTCTATTCATTCGGAACTTATTAATCGCTTTAGTTTACGTTTATTAAAGTTAAGACTTTTCAAATTGAAAACTTTATGTATCTCGTTTAAATATCAAACATTTTTTATGATCTCCACCTACCCCGAACAAGCAAATTAAACATAACGGAGTTATGGATGTTCTACCGGTTTGCCATTTCTGTTGCATGCACGTGCTTTAATTTGATTTTGCCCAATTTCATTCACTGCACTCTCTCCATATGCAACTCCCTGTTGCAAAACACACACAAGAGCACATAAAATAAGACCGCAGCTGGGATGTTAAATATGCAACGATGCCACAGTTTAAAAACCGCACAATAAATTGACCAATACCCTCCCTCCGCCCCCCGTCTCACACCAACACCCGAAAAATGTGAAATTCTACAAACCAAGCCACCTGCCCCTAGCTGGTGGAGTGCGGGGGAGGGGGAGTGGTTGGCAAAAATAAAAGAGAAATGAGCAATTTTAATGAAGCCGCGTTGCTTTGTTGTTGCTGTTGTTGCTTTTGTTTGAACGTGTGCGGTCGCATAAACCCAAATATTGGGCCACAATATCCCTTCGACCCAATTTTCCGGGCGATCTCATTGATTGAAGGGCAATGGGTGGACGAGGGGAGGAGGGGAACGTGAATGAAACCGAAATACTAAATAAAAAAAGCGCAGCCAATATGCAAAACAGCAAAGGCACACACGTGAGTATGTGTGTGCCGAGATGTAAAAATAGAAGAAAAAAAGAAAACGCAACCACGCGGTTCATGCGAAATGCAATAGCAACAACAACAACTACACCAAAGCGGCCATAAAACGAAAATAAAACTTACATAAATTTAGAAGTCTTGGCGGGCAGCCGTGGATATGTTGTCGTTTGTCGCACTGCTCCCAAAACGCACTTTATTTTTGGAAAACCGAAAAGCCAAATAAAACGCGAAACGGCACAACAAATGACGCGGCAACAGGCGAAACTTTTTTATTTAACACGACACTCATGATGCACTGAACAACAATGGCGGCAATTACGCACTTTACCGTTCATCGTACTAAGTGTTACCAGATGCTGCTCCTGCCCAACTTTAATCTCGATAGACTGATTTTAACTTTTAAGCCTATCAATCGATAGCTCTGTTAAAGTTATTGAAAATCAGAGTTGGAAAACGCTCTAGGCAATTTCTGTTATGCGGCTGGAAAAAAAGTAACTCCGGACAGCAGCTGCAAAATTTCTATTCGAACTGGAGCAGAGCATATAAAAATAATATAAAGGAAAAACAAACCGACAAAAAGAAGAAGCAGTCGGCGGCTTAAATTATGTGGAGAAGGGTGGGGAAACAACCGAAAAACGCAAAGACAAACAACAACAAAAATTTTAGGCACATACACTCGGAAAACAGTTTAATAATTACAGGGAAGCTGTAAATCAAACATTAAATTCAAAAGCTTTAAAAGCGTTAGAATTATCGATAATGTTTGAATATCATCGAACCTGGAATACCAATTTAAAATACCAAAGTAAATATCGGTTATCGATCGTAGTATAAACACCGTTGTAAGTTTTATAAGAGTGGTTGACGGCGGACATTGTTAAAAATATTTCGGAGTGTACAAACAATAAGCAAGTGAAGTGGGAAAAGAAGATGAGGAACGACTGTGGGGAGGATGAGGAAGAGGAGCAGGATGCCTCTGGTGAGTCGTAAAATTGCGCAAACGACGGGACTCTCTCCGCTTGTCCTTTTTGTTCTGCCCGCGTTGTTTAGAGGGCGTGCGAGCGAGAGGGCGATGGACACAAGAAGCTGGCCAAATTAAATACAGCAATTTCGCAAAACGAATGGCACGCGCAAAGCAACAGCGAATAATAATATGAAGGAAATGCGCCAAGGAGGAGGAGGAAGCAGTGGCCACAGTACCAGGATGGCCAGAAGTGAGTTGGCATGGTGGGACGACCTTGGATGTTCTGGAGCGTACGCATATTTTACTTGGTTTCTTTTGTTTGTTTTTTTTTAGGAAAAGCCTGCAAACATTTCCAAAGCTTCTGTTGCAATTTTTGGTTTCTTTCGCGGAATGAAGAAAAAAATAGAAAGGGGCCTAAAATATTTGCACACAAAGAGATGGCCATAAACTATGAGCTGCGACTACACACAGAGAATACAAGTATTTGATGGAAATGCGATGGAAAATCATATATGTAATTCAGGGGATATAAATGTAAGTAGAATTTCATAGCAAATTTAAGATCAAGATTAAATTCTATTAAATTTAGATGATCTAGGTTACGTAGAAGAAACTGAAAAAGGACAAGTTTGTTTAGGAGATTGTATTCCCGATCTGAAAACAAGTTTTCTCCCAATGTAGCGACACATGCACAATGTTGTCCTTTTTTTTTTGGAGGGGCAAGAAGAGAATCCCGGGGACAGTAGCTAAACTGGACACAAAATGTTTATGAGCACTTTAGCAGGGCCACGGTCCCTGGAAGGAGACCATGCCACAACCGAAGTCCATAGCCCATAGTAGTCCATAGTCCATAGTTCTGCACTGGAGTCCCCACCCGGCCATCAGTAGCATCATTCACATTTACGAGCCAGCGGAGGCTGTTGCTTCCATTCAACATTCACCATGCATGGCATGAAAAATAGGAATGTGGGTGGAGGATGGTGGATGGAGGCTGGAGGACATCCGCTGGTCCACTATCCACCATCCAACTGGCAGCAGGTTGGCCTCTAGCCAAACCAAGCTTTTCCCCTTCAGCCAGGTCCCTGACTTTCCCCCTCGTTGATTATTGTCAATGATTTGCTTTTGGCCTCATAAAATGCAAGGCAAATTGAATTATTTTTCGCAATTATGTGTCACAGAAAAAGGGATGCCAAAGGGCACATTTATACGTTTTAAAGAAGGTTTCACCGAATCCTTAAAGTTAAGTTAGTTTTAAGCTTTCGATGTTTATTTAGTTTATGTACTATCCTAGATACCTTGTCTTATTTTGAAATGTAGAAAAAGGGTTTCAAAAGTTCTACTGAAAGACACTTCTAAGTGATGTAAAAGCTCTAGAGATTTCATAGACGTACAATAAATACTTAAATAAGCTAGAAATGTATATCTTATATCTAATCTAAGTAAAGAATTTTATGTTTATAAGTCGTTATTGAACTCACCTTATTGCTTTCCCGTGCGTTGGCTGAGCTGGTAGTTATGTTCCGAATATGTATTGTATTATTACTTGAATCGTAGATTGCTATTGGTAATTATTTTGCAATTAGAACTATTAATATCCGTAGTTGGCATTGATAATGCTGAGGGCGAAGGACAGAGGGCGGGAAGAACGAGAATGGCTGCGATTCGAGTCCCACTCACGATGCACAGTGTTGTTGGCCAGCGAGAATGGTTCTGGACCTGGAACCCTCCACCGCAACACTCAGTGCTCATTTATCCGACTTAATTCGCATAATTTTGCGATTCTTATTAGTTTGTTTTCCAAAATAAGTATCGCTCGCTTACGATCTTTGAATAGTTGGAGGAAGAAAAAAAAGCAAAAAAAAAAAAATAAAGATAGATATATCTGGAGAAACTGCCCAGACCCAGGCGACAAAGACAAACGGCACAGACGACACGCACAGACACGAATAGACAAAGGCGGAAACGGAAGTGGTAGCACTCGCGAAACCGAAACCGAAAGGAAAGCACACACGAAAAACCGAATAACGACGAAACGGAGCGACTATTCGATTATTTGCCGATTACTTGGGCGATTTGAATGGCTTTCTTTCAGGGCATTGTTCCTCGGATCGGATGAGCATGGGATGTGCCTACTCTTGGCCGGGATCTCGTTAATTTGGCTTATTTGCCACCGTTGTTGCTTCCTTGATGGCCCATCCACCATCGCCACCGGCCACTTGGACATTTCCAGCTCATTTGGCGCGGTATTAGGGCTGTGATTCCGTGTATTCGTGTCGTTTTTCCGCCTGCAATCGTTGAAAAAGGCGGGAAAGCGAAAAAGGAAACGGAAATTCTTTTATGGCTTTTCAATAAATTTGCAACAAATTATGGTCGTTGGTTTCTGTGTGCGTGCTTGTGGGTGTGTATATGTATGTTTGTGTGTGTGTGTGGGTGATGGATGAAGTGTTTGCACAAACTGCCGATGGGATTGGGGTTGGCCAAATAAACCTAGTTTTGCAGACTACCTCTTCTTTCTATTGGGTACAGTGCGTTTCAGGACTTTAAAGTGGGCTATCGATCGAATGCAGCTGAGTTAATGAGGTCGCTTTAATCAAATTATGTCTGGTATTAATTAGTTGCAGTTTTTTGGTATCAATTTAGGTCAAAACTTTTAAGAGAATGGTAAAATTAAAAAAAAAGGAAGATTACAACTTTAACTAAAACAAAACCCTCATATGTGTGCTATATTTCCTTTAAAATTTCCAAACATCTTTATAAAATCTGTGAGGAAAAGTAATAAAACTCATCTAGCACAAGATCAAATGAAAATGTTTGGAATTTCTGCAATCTTATGAAGTTTTTGGTATGTCCTTTGTGCCAGAGCCTGATGATATACGACTCGTTGGCCCAATTTGGGCCAACTTTGGCAACCTGATTTATTTGGCTTAAAGCTTAAAACGGCAAGTACCTTGGCGTTATATTACTTTATCTTTCATCCTTTCGCATATTGGCTTACCAGCCAACGTTTTTTCGTTTTATTTTCCACCCATCTACCTTCATTTCGTTGATGTTCTCCGCAAGGCTTTTTAAACTTGTCATACATTTTGATAAAGAATTCGCCTTGTTCCCTCGAGGGTCTGAGATGCTGTCAGCACTGCTGCCCCACGTCTCCTGCCTACTTTCCGATTTCCTCTCACCTGCTTTGCCACCCCCTCACCTACGATTTTACCCCCTTTTTTTTATATACCGCCTTCCAAGGCTTTTCCGCCGCTCCAATGCTGACGGAGCGTGCAAAATTTTGCACATTTTCAGGAAGAGGGGTGTGGGAACACTTTGCTGTCTCCTTTCCTCCGGCTATTGCCATCTCTTTCGGTTGGGTCTTTAACCAAATTCGCATTCTTCGCAATTTAAGTGAATTCCTGTGCTCCGGCAGCCCGCAGGCCAAAAATGCTCCGCGACTTGACTTTGTCTTTTGTAGTTTTATTTCATTTCATTTCAGTTCGTTTCGCTTCGCTAATGGCAGAGTTTCCCTAATACACAGAGAAAAATAGTAGTGATAGGTTATGCCTAATATCAGAACTAATCTTCGGTTTTTCTATGGATATTTTCTAGGCCCTAAAAACCTTCACTAAGAACACTTGTGATAAGAAGGTTCTTATCTTATCCAAAAATGAAAACAATTCCCATTTTTATCTGTGTACCAGGGGGTGGAAAATTAAGGAGGGCGTGTGGGTGATGCTGCAGCCGCCCACCCAAACTGCAATGGGCTGAAGATTTGGGGGATGGTCGGAAAGTTTGAACTTTCCCCCAGCCATCTCTTACCCCATTTTGAATTTGTTTAACTTGGCTTTCTAACATCTCTTTCTCCCTCTTATTTTGTTGTCTATTTTCATTTTCTTTCACTTTTTTGTTTTTGGTTAGTTTGTTTTTTAGGTTTCATTAAACATTTGAATGAGGGTAGGGTTATTAAGAAAGGAAGAAAGGAAAAACCAGGCCCACTTGACTGATGCTCAGCCACACACGCACACATGTGTGCTGGTGGGGGAGGGGAAAATTGTTCAAGGACATTTCCAATGGCAGTGCGCAAAAAAGGGAAAATATTCCTACTCAATGGATCGCCAGAAACATCGCACACACATGTGAGAACCATTAAAGAAATAATTATACGAAAAATATATCCAACGAATAATTAAAAATTATGTATTACACCCCGACCTGCAATGTTATGAATATGAAAATCGTTTTTAACGATGCGACGCGACGAGCAAAATATATAAAATAGATTCAAAATTCAAATCAAAAAAACGAAGCAAACTAATGTCTGTGATTTTTCTAGCTTAGTATTTACGTCACAACAATTTGATGGTTCTTTAATTATTAATAAAAGCAGAGGGGAATGGCATTATTATGATCGAGGGGCAACTTAAAAAAAAAAACAACAACACACACCTACCTCAAAAAGGTATGCTGGGAGGTCAAAGGATTACTTCTGTTTAAGTTGAAGTTAGAATTTAGAGATTTTTTTTTACTTTATTTCATTTTTGATTTTGTTAGATTTAAAATTTTTTCTTTTCGCGTCGCGAACACTGGAAAAAAATGTAAAAAAAAAAGTAGAAGAATTCGTTGGAGGCTGCGACGGTTCTAGCGGATTTTTTAAAATCTTTCTTTTTTAAATTTTTTTTAGCGACGATTTCGACGACGGTCTACTAACACGGCTTAAAAGGGCGGCTCAATGGTCGTTTGGTCTTCCGGCTGCTGTTGCTGCTGCTGTTGCAAGTGTTGCTGTTGTTGCTGGCACAACTTTTGCTGCTACTAATGCTACTGCTGCTGGTGCTGCTGCTGCTACTGTTACTGCTGGTTGCGTGTCGCGTGTCGCGGCTCTGTACATCGCGCCGTATACCCAACGACTAGGCGCTGGAGACTATAATGTGCGGAACCCAGAATCGCAACGCCCGAATATCGCCAACCGATTCCGATTCGTCTCCGAAAATCCGACGGAACGAATCGCGTTTTTTCCGAATCCCAAAAAACCAAAAAACCGACTGCAGCCGCCAACGGCAACGTCGACGTCGCAGCCAACATCGACGCCACCGTCAAAGAGAGATGCTTTCACCTTGCCTTTCATTTCGATTTCGATTTTATTCGAGTTTCGAAGTCGATTCTGATTTGATTCGATGTCGAAAAAGCTTTTAACATAGCTTTGAAGGTCAGGCAGGCGCAACAATCGCCGCCCCATTCATTCTTCATCGCTTAGTTTTTTTTTTTTTTTGATTTTTTTGCCGGTCCTGAGCGGTATGGAAAGTGGGCATCCTGCAGAGCTTGGACTAGCGGGTGGAAAGTGGGCCATGTCAGCTTGGAGCGACGCAACCACCGCAGCGGAATGCAGCAGATTTTCGAATTTCCACTTTTCCACACGGCCAAAGCTCTTCCAGAAAGTTTTCTAAGGATTTTGGCCGTTAAAAGGATGTTGGCAATGGTAATGATACTAATGTTTTAAAAATTAATATTAATAAGTCATTTACTTTAAACAATTTATAAAAAAAAAACTTGAAATTCTTCTGATTTGAAAGGCTAAGAAAATTATATTTATATTGGATTTTAATGTTCACTTTTTTAAGAGAAAATAGCTCTATGATATAGACAGTATTAGCTTTGAATAATTATGAATATATCATACTATAGATATAAATATAATATTTAATTTTGTATTATTAATATTAATTTATTTAAGTCTGTTTAATGATTCTTATAATCTGTATAGATATCACGATATTATCATTATTTTTAATATTTAAAGTTTACTGGAAATTAAGTTTAAACTGAAGCTCATTGCTAAAGCTTGTTGCCAAAAAACGTACATTTAAGCTTATGGGAAAAGTTCTCAATGTGGTGAGTTTATAAAAAAGGGGTATTTAGCATTTTGAGTTTCTTTAAAAATACTTCAGACTTATCAAACTATTAGTGATTTATATATTTTGAATTAACTTTATATTTTATTTTTGACCGTTTAACTTGATGGGACATTTTAGTCATTATACCTTAATTTATTTTCAGGGTATGTGATAAGCTGTAAATAAACAAACTTGGACTCGGTTTTCCAGAAGGCTAACAACAGTAGACATGGCGACGGAAAAACAAACTGGAAAAACAAACCGGAAAAACAAGCCAAGCACTGTCAGTCGGTGCTAAGCCGATCAAAACCTATCCCCATACAGCCCGTTATCCGGAATGTCCAGGCAGCTTCATCTTAAGGACAAGGGCAGCTTTAAAGGCAAGGGCAGCTTTAAAGGCAAGGGCAGCTTTAAAGGCAAGGACAGGGGCAAGGAGATCAAAGAGAAAGGCAAGGAGGAGGAAGACGAAGATAAAGATGACTGGCTAGGGTGGAGACAATCAGCAGGAGATGGAGATCCCTTCCACGAGACCAATGCAAAGCGCCTTACAGCCGAGGATCGGGCTAGTGGCATGTCAATGGATCGACTTGGTAGCGATGCCATGGCTTTTGCAGAACGTACCAGTGATGCTAATGATGGCAGCAGCACGGGTCCCCTGGATAACAATGGCAAAAGGGGGACAACCGGAAGCTTTGGCAGCAATAAGAGAGGATTATCCAAAATGCGGCTTAATTTCTCCGTTACCAAATCGATGACTTCAACGGGCGGTGGTGCAAAATCTCGCAATGCCAGCACCACGAAAATCACCACTGGAGCATCTCTTATTCCCGATCTAAATCTGATTATTAACCGGATGCGCAGCATGCCAGATGATTCGTTTGTGTACATGGACTATATGTTGCCACATGACAGTGAGTACTTTACACCGTACAGTCTGCGGCAGGTGGAGTACAAGGAGCTGAACACATACGAACCATTCTACACTGTCACCCGCCATGGAGTAACCTACTGGCATTGCTCCGAGAACTTCTTCACACCCCTGGACCAGTGGCAGCAGGAGTTCGAACAGTTTCTCAGCATCATCCAGATAAGATCTTTCTCTATCTTCCGATTGTGGAAGGGATTCAAGGTGAGATTCATGAAATATGAAAGTATTTTAATTTTCAAATCATTTTCGAAATTTAAGGTATGGGAAAAGACTATCAAATGGCGAAAACTGAACGAAGCCCGGGACTTCCTGCAAAACAATCTGTTCATCGTGATTCCTCAGCTGGCCAAAGCGATTCTTCGCATGCGCAGCGACATCGTCCAATTGCAGCGTCTAAATTTTGTCAATATTAGCAACATAGAGAACTGGCACCCGTTCTACTTCCTGGAAACCCACATGCGCATCTATGAACAGCTGCACAAGACCTTTACAGATTTTAGGGAGTTCATTGGCAAGACCATATGTAAGTTTTAAGATGTAACTTAATAAGTATATCTAATATATTGGAAATCCTTATTAGTTCGAGCCTGCACGGATGCAATTCAAGCACGTGGTTTCTATCCGGATGACGAGATCAACTACTATCCATCGCTGAAGAAGATGCGTGAGGCGCACAGCTTTATGGATCGGGCACGAAAGCGAGCCTTCTGCAAGACCCTGACCAAGTATGAAAGTAACTGCTAATCCTAATCTCATTCTAATCTAAAAAACCTCTTTCTTCCGATTAGTTTCCTCACCTACTGCGACATGATGGTTTACCAAATGCTTTATCGAATTACGATTAAAAGTTTTGCCGATTTAGCAAGTGCCTTTGAAGTCCACGATGAAGTTGGCCCTTCGGAGGCGGATATTAATAGACATAATCGGGTGGACAAAAAAATAGAAAAGGCACGACCAGCGGACAAGCCACAGAGTCCATTCTTTTTGGCCATGTTACGCCTACTGCCCGATCGCATTGATGTGGAGCCGTCGGAAGATGTGATCAAGATTATCTTTCAGCGCATCACTGGCCTAATACTTGAGACTGTCCTTGAGATTCATCCCTTCACCACAGATCCCTTCTTCACGCAGTACACTCAGTGAGTTCGGATTTTCAGTACTATTAATGATCTGGTTATAATTTACGAAATTATTATAGACCCTCGATTATGGGACGTCAGGAGGAGGTGCTTTATGAAGGCGCTCCCGATTTGCATTATTTGTTGCGGGCAGATCAAAGCTTTCAGTTTAATCGGTAAACTAAAACTATGTCTTTTCTTTATTTGAAAGTAATGTTTTATATTTCTCACTAGCAAAAATATGTTTGTGTTGATCAAGAAAGCCTATGAAAGGGCTCGACTCTACACGCAGAGGTTCCAGCAAATACGCGAGAACTTTGAGATAGACAATAGCACAGATCCCACAGTTCTTAACACCGAAAGGGGTATGTTAAATATGAGAAAGAATTAAGATAGTATCTACCATTCTTCATCCGTTTACCTTACAGATCTTCAAATCCTGCGGGCATACTGCGACAGATACTGTAATAATGTACGTGCTTTGGATGGTATCTTGGAGTTTGTATATCTGGGATTACTGAAGCTCACTCAGACGAACTTCAAGGATACTGTGACGCCAGTATGTTCTCGACTTCAGAACATTTTGGCCACCTATCTGCCCAAATTGGCAGAGGAGGAGACCACAAGGCTCTATGAAGAAGCGCAGGATTTCTATGGCAGGATATGCTATGAACCACACGAAACGCTTGAGATTGTGGCCCACATCAGATTCCTGGACCAATGCTCCGCTGAATTAGATGGTATCTTCAGTGGCATCGACTATGTGCACGACCTATTGCTGATTATTAAAGACTTTGGCATACCAATCGATGATGAGTCCAAGGAGGACTACATGGATACTGAAGACTATTTAAATAGAACACGAGAGACGCTGGAGGAGATTAGAGAAAAGCGACAGGACTTTATCAATCGACTAGAAGATGCTATGCAAGATGATATAGCGGCGCTAAAGGAGGAGATACACGAAGTGGCCATTGAAGCTCTGCAGCCCTGGCTACTGGATGTGAGTTTTTTAAGACATTCATTCATTTCATTCATTCATGATGTTTACAATTTAATATTTTCTAGGCCAAATCCAATCGATTGTCGGTGGTGAACAAACTGGACGACTTGCTTGAACACCTAAATAAATGTCGCGAGACAGCCGACGAATACCTTGGGTATCAGAAGGAATTCCAAATCGATTTGACCATGTACGAGGAAATGGCCAGTGGCTTCTATGATATACGGATGCGTCAGAATCTGTATCGCACATGGTCCGACTGGGAGGAATCTTTGGCCGAGTGGATAGCGGCTGATTTCAACACCCTAAATGTGAATGATATGGTTGAGCTGAATGCAAAGACAATCAAGAACTGTCTGCAATTTGAGAAATATTTGCCAGAAAACAATATTGTTCCTGTACTCCACAAATCTGCGGATGCTTTCAAGGAGAAGCTTCCCGTCATTGGTTATCTACGTAATCCCAATTTGAGAGCTGTAAGTTATATAACTCTTACCTTAATTGTGGAATACACCACATTTTTTCTTCCTTAGCGTCACTGGGCGGAGATTGAAGATCTTCTGAATCGCAAGTTCTTTCAGGAGAAGGATATCATAATCCAAACATACGAGGACGTGCACGCATTTGATGATGTCAATATCGGCGAGGCCTTGATGCAAATATCCTCGCAAGCCACCGGTGAAGTGCAGCTGGAGAATATGCTGAAAGCCATCGAGACGACGTGGAAGGAGACGGAATTGTCCATTGTCTCGCATCACGATGCCAAGGATGTCTTTATCCTGGCCGGAACCGAGGAGTTACAAGCAGTCTTAGATGATTCCAATGTGAATATTAATACTATAGCCGCCTCCAAGTTTGTCGGTCCCATTAAGGGCAAGGTCGACGAATGGATCAATGCCATGGATCAGTTTAGCAAGACCTTCGGTGGGTGTTCTTCTAGGTATAATTATAAAAATGTATATTTAATCAAGATCAACAGAAAGCTGGATGGATTGTCAGGGCGCTTGGATTTACCTGGAAGCTATCTTTGCCTCGGCGGATATTCAGCGACAGTTGCCCCACGAAGCCAAGATGTTCTTCACGGTGGATAAGAGTTTTAAGGAGACGGTTCGCCAGGCTAAGAAGGTTTCCCTGGCCCTGCCAACCATGTCGAGTGTGGATGTGCACAAGGTGCTGTTGGAGAACAACCGATTACTGGATCTTATATCCCGCGGATTGGAGGCGTACTTGGAGGTGAAGCGGGTGGTGTTCCCCAGGTAGGAAATCCCTTTTACTTAAGCAACATATATAATGTAATAATACTTAAATTTTGTTACTCCCCTGTAGATTCTACTTCCTGTCCAACGACGAGCTGCTGGAGATCCTGGCCCAAACACGAATTCCTCAGGCCGTGCAGCCTCATCTGCGGAAGTGCTTCGATGCCATTTACCGTCTGGAATTTGGATTGAAGGAGGGTGGCGATGGCAAAATGGTACCCACCAACGATATCGTGGCCTTCCTGTCGCCCGAGGGTGAAAAATTGCAGTTTGGCAAGGGCTTAAAGGCTCGTGGAGCCGTGGAGGAGTGGCTTAGTAAGGTGGAGGAGGCTATGTTTGTATCTGACAAACGATACATGCGATTTGGTTACCAGTGCTATCCGGCTAAGGAGCGTGAGGACTGGTTCCAGGATCATCCTAACCAGGTAGTGCTCACGGTCTCCCAAGTTCAATGGGCTGCCGATATTCATCGAATCTACGAGGGCAAAGAGCGCAATCCCTTAAATATTATTGAGAAAATGGGCAAGTTCGAGGTGAAATGCCTTAAAGATCTGGGCGCTCTCGCTGCCCTGACCAGGAAGAATATAACCTCGCTGCTGCGCAAAATCCTTTGCGCCTTAATCACCATCGATGTACACGCAAAGGATTCGGTCCGCATGCTAATAGAGAAGGAGGTCACTAAACCGTAAGTTTATAGGTTTTGGAAGGTATATATAATGTAGGTACTGATTGATAATCCTTACCCCTTTTTCAGAACCGATTTCAATTGGCTCAAGATGCTGCGATTTTACTGGGCCGACGAAACGGAAACAGTCTACTCCCGGATGGCAGCTGCAAATATTCCCTACTATTACGAGTACTTGGGTGCCGGTGGTGTGCTGGTGCTCACACCGCTGACAGATCGCTGCTACCTCTGTCTAATGGGTGCCTTCCAAATGGATTTGGGCGGAGCACCAGCAGGACCAGCCGGAACGGGCAAAACGGAGACCACCAAGGATTTGGCTAAGGCTTTGGCCAAACAGTGCGTCGTCTTCAATTGCTCGGATGGTCTGGACTACAAAATGATGGGACGTTTCTTCTCGGGATTAGCACAATGTGGAGCCTGGTGCTGCTTTGATGAGTTCAATCGAATTGATATCGAAGTGTTGTCCGTGATTGCCCAGCAGCTGATCACTATCCGAACGGCCAAGGCAATGAGGGTGAAGAGGTAAGTTATTACCCAACTATTACCACATTTACATAGTTCACAAGTTCTTGATATTCTACAGATTCATCTTCGAGGGTCGGGAGATCAAGATCAATCGTTCCTGTTGTGTGTTTATCACCATGAATCCCGGATACGCGGGACGTACCGAGTTGCCCGATAATTTAAAGGCCCTGTTCCGACCTATATCCATGATGGTGCCCGACTACGCACTCATTTCCGAGGTTATTTTATACTCGGAGGGCTTTGAGGATCCCAAAATCCTGGCCCGCAAGATGGTGCAGATGTACCAACTTTGCAGTCAGCAGCTTAGCCAGCAGAATCACTACGATTTTGGTATGCGAGCCGTGAAATCTGTCTTGGTCATGGCAGGAGCTCTTAAGAGAGCCTCGCCAAATCAGCGAGAGGATATTACCCTGATTGCTGCTTTGAGGGACTCCAATATACCCAAGTTCCTTGCCGACGATGCGGTTCTGTTTCGAGGCATCCTTAGTGATTTGTTCCCGGGCGTAGAACTTCCGGATTCGCAGCATCCGGATCTAGAGGAAAGCTTGCGTTTAGGATTGCGACAGAAGAATCTTCAGGCAGTGCCGACGACAATCAGAAAGTGTCTGCAACTTTACGAGACAATGTGCGTACGCTGGGGTGTAATGCTGGTGGGTCCAACTGGAGGCGGTAAGTCAGTGGTGTTACATGCCCTGGAGTTTGCCCTCTCGCATCTTTTCGAGAACGAAGTGCAGGATCCGAACTTTCGGCCAGTCGTCATCCAGACAATGAACCCCAAGGCGGTGACTATGAATGAGCTGTACGGCTATGTAGATCTCAAGACTCTCGAGTGGCAGGATGGTCTATTGGGATTGGCAGTGCGAACTGCCACCACAGTAGAAGGTATGGCAAATCAAACACAGTTTGTGAAAACTTTTCTCATCTACTTTTTTAGACGAAATCCACCAGTGGATCATGTGCGACGGGCCCGTGGATGCGGTATGGATTGAGAACTTAAACACCGTACTGGACGACAACAAGATGCTTTGCCTGGCCAACTCGGAGCGTATCAAGCTGACCGCCTGGATTCATATGCTTTTTGAAGTACAGGACCTGCTGCAGGCCTCACCCGCCACCGTTTCGCGCTGCGGCATGGTCTATGTGGATCCCGGCGATCTCGGATGGATCCCACTGGTCGATACTTGGAGGGAGGTGGACATGAAGAACAAGCTACCGCCTCAACTGGCCGAGTTTTGCTACCAGCTTTTCATAGGCTACTACGACAAGGCGCTGAAAATCGAAAGGAAGCGGGCTGTATACACCATCCATCAGGTATTCGGGTCCAAAGTGAGACTCTGCTGTGAACTGATCTCATCCCAGCTGGAGGCGGTCAAGTGGTCGGCACTGAATGATGAGCAGGCCAAGGAACTAATAACTAAGATCTTCACCTGGGCGGTGCTCTGGGCTATTGCCTCGAATCTTAAAGATGCTGAGAAGGTGTCCTTTGAGGAGCAGTGGAGCAAGGCCATGGCCCAACATCCAAATATGACGTATGAATATGTGTTTTAAGAAGAATTCCCAATAATCTTTGTTATACTCCAACAGCTTGCCCAATTGGTCCTTGTGGAACTATCGTATCGACCTGGAGAAAAAGGACTGGGGAAACTGGTTGGATATCATGGCCAAGTTTCATTTTAGCTCCGAAACCTCTTACTACGATATGCAGGTGCCCACAGTGGATACTACCAAATATGGGTACGAAGTCTTCTGTCCTCTACCAGTTCGTCACTACAAGATCATTTTCAATCCACTTCAGCTATGTTTCCGATCTCCTGTTCAAAAGAGGCATGCCCGTTATGGTGACTGGAGATACGGGCGTGGGCAAAACTGTCTTGGCCATCAGTTGCATGAAACGGCTATCCGAGGATCGTGTCATCCCGGTGATCCTCAACTTCTCCGCACAGACGAGCAGTGTGCGCACACAGGAGATGATAGAGGGACCTTTGGAGAAGCGCAAGAAAACTCAGCTGGGTGCACCGGTGGGCAAGACAGTGATCATATTTATTGATGATGTTAATATGCCCAAGTTGGACACCTACGGAGCATCGCCGGCCATTGAGCTGTTGCGCCAGTTCTTGGACTTTAAAGGGTTCTACGATCGCGAGAAGTTGTACTGGAAGGAGATTATGGACGTTGTCTTGGGCTGTGCCTGTGCTCCGCCTGGTGGTGGACGAAATCCATTGACACCGCGCTTTGTTCGACACTTTGCCCTGTTTTCACTGCCGAAACCAAATGAGGAAACCCTAACTCAGATCTTCAATGGCATTCTTCGAGGCTTCCTGCAAACGTTTTCCTCTGCTGTAAGGGCTCTCTCGGAATCAATGGTCAATGCCTGCGTGGACGTTTATATGCGAGTTGCCAATGTCATGCTGCCCACACCAGATCGATCGCATTACATCTTTAATTTGCGCGATCTGTCCAAGTGTATTCAGGGTATCCTGCAGGCGAGCAATTTGCACTATAACCAGGAGAACCAGATACTACGCCTGTTCTATCACGAGACCACTCGAGTCTTTCACGATCGGCTGATCAATCAAGAAGATAAGAACATGTTCAAGTCTCTAATGAAAGACGTCTGCGAGGATCACTTCCACCGTCCGGTAGTCACTGAGGCAGAGCCGCCGATCCTCTTCGGCGACTTTATGGTTTTTGGTAAGCCAAAGAACGAGCGTATCTATGACGAGATAAAGGATCACGGAAAGCTGGAAAGCGTTCTCAACGATTATATTTCGGACTATAACTCGGTGGCGGTGGGCAAGCAGATGCAATTGATCCTCTTCCAGGACGCAATGGAGCATACGGTCCGACTGGCGCGACTTCTACGCAGCGATCGCGGCAATGGACTGCTCGTAGGCGTAGCTGGAATGGGAAAACAATCCCTCACACGATTGGCATCCCATGTCAATGAGTACAATTGCTGGCAGATAGAAATGCGACGTAACTACGATCTCAACGCTTTTCATGAGGATCTGCGGGTTCTCTACCGTATCGCAGGAGTAAGTACTTATTAAACCAATTATCTGACCATCCCTTGCCTATAAAATACTCACCGTTAATTCATTTTATTTTCTAACAGATAGAAAATCAACCAGTGACCTTCCTCTTGATCGACAGCCAGATTGTTGAGGAGGAGTTCCTTGAGGACATCAATAATATCCTGAATTCCGGCGAAGTGCCCAACCTATTCGAGGGTGATGAGTTTGAGAAGATCATTTTGGACGCTCGCGATGGGTGTAATGAGCTCAGAAAAGATAATGTAGGTGCCTCAAATTACTATCTCACATAGATAACGTAATAATAATTTGTAATATCTGGCTTAGCCCTGCACTCGCGATGAAATCTACAAATTCTTCATCAACCGGGTGCGCAATAATCTGCATGTGGTGATGTCAATGAGCCCGGTGGGCGATGCCTTCCGACGCAGATGCCGTATGTTCCCATCGCTGGTCAACTGCACCACGATTGATTGGTTCACCAGTTGGCCAACGGAGGCCCTTTACTCGGTGGCTCTTGGATTACTGACAAAGATCGCTCCCAAAATGGAGGATCGCATCTCGTTGGCCAGCACCACGGTGTTTATGCACAAGGTTAGTGTGGCTTATGGGCTTAACCTTTAAAAACAGTTTCATTATGTAAACGAAATCCTTTCCAGACCGTTGAAGAAGCTTCTGTGCGGTTCTACAAGGAGATGAAGAGGCATTACTACACCACACCCAGTAGCTATTTGGAGCTGTTAAAGCTCTACCAGAATCTACTTAAGATCAAGAACATGGAGATCATAGCCAAAAGGAAGCGAATCGCTAATGGTCTAAACAAGTTGCTGGAGACCAATGAAGTGGTATGTAAAATATATCCCAACTTTAAGACTGCATCCGATTTACACTCCAATCCTCTTCCAAGATTGCTGTCATGGGAAAAGAACTGGAGGTGATGGTGCCCCAGTTGGATGAGAAATCCGCCATGATGAAATCCCTGGTGGACAATCTGACTAAGGAGACCAAGCAGGCGGATGCCGTAAAACAGAGTGTGCTGGAGGACGAGATGAATGCCAAGGAGAAGGCAGCAGTGGCCCAGGCGATATCCGAAGATGCCGGCAAGGATCTGGAGATTGCCATGCCCGCCCTGCGTGAAGCAGAAGAGGCACTTAAGGGTCTCACCAAGGCCGACATCAACGAATTAAAGTCCTTCACTACGCCACCGGCTTTGGTGCAGTTCTGCATGGAGGCCGTTTGCATCTTGCTGGGCGTCAAGTGGGTGGCTTCCTATTTTTATATTTCCGTATTACTGAATCTGTATTTTTGCAGACCTACTTGGGCATCTGCCAAAGCCATTATGGCGGACATAAACTTCATCAAACGTCTGTTCGAGTACGACAAGGAGCACATGAAGGAGGACACCCTGAAAAAGGTCAAGAAGTACATTGATCACAAAGATTTCGTGCCGGCTGTAAGTTCGATTTCAAAGCTACATTTTTGACTCCATCTGACTATTTCTTGATACTTACAGAAATTCGAGAAGGTCTCCAAGGTGGCCAAGTCAATGAGCATGTGGGTGATATCCATGGACAAGTTCTCTAAGGTGTACAAAGTGGTGGAGCCGAAGATCAAGCGCAAAGAAGCCGCCGAAGCTGAGCTCAAGGAGGTGATGACAGTGCTGAGGCAGAAGCAAAAGGAATTGGCAGCCGTGGAGGCTAAGATCCAAGGACTTCGTGACAGCCTTGAGGAGAAGCAACGCGAGTTTCAAGTGATCCAAGACAATGTTGACTTGACCTACGGCCGTATTAATCGAGCGGGTCGCTTGACGTCTGCCCTTTCCGACGAACAAGTGCGCTGGCGGGAAACTGTGAAATCCTTAACAGGAGACTTAGCCTGTGTTCCTGGCGATGTCCTGGTGGCCGCCGCCTGTGTTGCCTATTTAGGAGCCTTCTCGCACGTATATCGCAGGGACATGAGCGCCCTGTGGGTAACCAAATGTCGTGAATACAAAATCCCCTCCAGTCCCGAGTTTAATCTGCTCAAAGTACTGGGCGATCCTTACGAGATGCGTCAATGGAATGTGGATGGCTTGCCCAAGGATAACATATCCATAGAGAATGGCATTTATGCCACTAGGGCTCTGCGTTGGGCGCTCATGATCGATCCCCAAGAGCAGGCCAATCGCTGGATCCGTAACATGGAGCGAGCCAACAATCTGCAGGTAATCAAAATGACGGACTCCAGCATGATGCGAGTGCTGGAGAACAGCGTTCGACAGGGATACCCGGTGCTGCTCGAGGAGATCAACGAGACGATCGATCCTAGTTTGCGTCCCATCCTTCAGCGGGAAACTTACCGATTCGAAGGTCGCACTTATTTGAAATTAGGTGATATGGTAATCGACTATGACGAAAACTTCAAGCTGTACATGACCACCAAATTACCCAATCCTCACTATTTACCAGAGGTGTGCATCAACGTGACTCTGGTTAACTTCCTGGTCACTGAAAGCGGTCTGGAGGATCAGTTATTGGCGTGAGTTAGAGTCGGCACACATAAAAACAATCTTTTATAACTCGAATTTATCTTTTAGGGATATTGTGGCCATCGAGCTGCCTGCCATGGAGATCCAGCGTAACGATCTGGTCGTCAAAATCAACTCGGATAAACAACAATTGCTAGCGCTAGAGGACAAGGTGCTGAAGCTGCTCTTCAACTCCGAAGGTAACATCCTCGACGACGAAGAGCTGGTGGAGACACTTAATGACGCCAAGGTTGGTCATACTACCTGGAAAATGCATTACTTAAATTTACTTTTCCTGATAGGAAACATCGCTTATCATTGCCGCCCGACTGATTGACACCGAAGAGACGGAAAAAGTCATAACAGCATCCCGGGAACGATATCGCATCCTGGCATCCCGTGGGGCCATTCTTTACTTTGTGGTGGCGGGCCTGGCAGAGATCGATCCGATGTACCAGTACAGTTTGAAGTACTTTTCACAAGTCTTTTGCAATGTCCTGCGATTGGAGCACCCAGTTCAAACTGTGGAAGTGCGCATTGCTACTCTGATGACGGAGGAACTAAAAGCCATTTTTGATAATATTTCACGTGGATTGTTTGAGAACCACAAGATCATCTTTAGCTTTTTGCTGGCACTGTCGGTTGAACGGCAGGAGGGACGTGTTTCCGAGGAGGAGTTCCTATTCCTTACTCGCGGACCTGTCGGCAACATTCGACCAAAGAAAATGCCAGCCAACGTTCAAATGAGCCAAATCGAATGGGATTCGTGCATTTTCCTGGAGGATAACTTCAAGAATTTCTTTAGCGGCTTGACCGATGAGATCGACAAACCCTTCTTTATCCAAATGCAGGAAAACAAGGAGGTATTCGATTTTGCCAAAACCAATCAGCCGCCCACAGACAAGTGGAACAAACGGCTAAGAGTTTTCCACAAGCTAATGTTCGTTGCCGCCTTCCGGAAACCACGATTCCTGCTCAACGTGGTCTGCTACCTTCAGTCAACCGTCGGAAAATACTTCACCGAGGCCTCTGGTGGCACTCAATTAAGCGCTGTGTAAGATCCTTTGCCATAAATCTGAATATTTTTATAAATTTTATTCACCATTTATAGCTATTTGGACACCTCTGCTGTGACGCCGTTGATCTTTGTACTGTCCACCGGTTCGGACCCTATGTCTGGCTTCCTTAAGTTCACCACACAGATGCAGTTCACGGACAAGTACTACTCCATTTCGCTGGGTCAGGGTCAGGGACCACTGGCTGAAAATCTGATCGAGAAGAGTTTGCGCTTGGGTCACTGGGTGTTCCTGCAGAATTGCCACTTGGCCACCTCTTTTATGCAGACGCTGGAAACGATTGTGCGAAATCTAACGCTGGGCATAACCAAAGCCCATCCCGATTTCCGCCTATATCTCTCCTCGATGCCCATCCAGACTTTCCCGATCAGTGTGCTGCAGAATTCGGTGAAGATTACCAACGAACCGCCTAAGGGAATTAAGGCGAATGTCTTTGGGGCAATGACAGATCTAAAACCAGACTTCTTCGAGCACCACATTCAGAATGGCAATTGGCGGGCCATTGTCTTTGGACTGTGCATGTTTCATGCTGTCTTGCTGGAGCGAAGGAAATTCGGACCCTTGGGATGGAACATTACTTACGAGTTCAGCGAAAGTGATCGTGAGTGCGGCCTGAAGACCCTCGATTTCTTTATCGATCGTGAAGTACTCGACGATATACCCTGGGAGGCCATACTCTATATCAACGGCGACATCACTTGGGGTGGTCGAGTGACGGACTACTGGGATCTGCGCTGTCTGCGGACCATCCTGACGATCTTCTCCTCGAAGAGGATAATCCAACCGGATTACAAGTATTGCCGCGGTGATAGCTACTATCGGGATCCGCGAAAAAAGACGCTGTCCGAATACTCAGCCTATGTGCAGGGCTTCCCGGTTTTGGAGGATCCGGAGATTTTCGGCATGAACCAAAATGCCAACATCGTATTTCAGACCAAGGAGACGGCATTCTTTATCAATACCCTGCTTCTGGGTCAGCCAAGATCCTCGGCCGACGAGGGCCAAGCCATGGAGAACGAGATCTGCCAGCAGACAATAGCACGCATCCAAAAAGCCTTGGCAACCAAGATTAAGAGGGAACCACTACATGGCACGCTCTCGGTGGTAAGTATTAATAGATACTCGAAATTTTCCATGACAAGCTAACACATTTCATCCTTTTTCCAGCTTGACTCCAAGGGACAGGTGCCATCGCTGACTATTGTACTGGTGCAGGAGATCGACCGCTTCAATATCGCACTGGGCATTATCCACGACAGCATGACCAATTTGTCCAAGGCCATTAAAGGATTGGTGGTGATGTCCGAGGAGCTGGAGAATGTATTCAAGGCCCTGCTTTCCAACCTGGTGCCCGCGTCGTGGGCCAAGAGAAGTTTCCTTTCGATCAAGCCACTGCCCAGCTATATATCTGATTTCCAGCGGCGCATCGACTTCATTCAGCAGTGGGCGGAAAATGGAGCACCGCGATCCTATTGGATCAGTGGATTCTTCTTTCCACAATCGTTCCTCACTGGCGTGCTTCAGACATACGCCCGTAAACGTATCCTGCCCATTGATTCGCTAAAGATCGACTTTGATGTTTTTGAAAAGGAATTGATTCAGCAGGACTTCTTCGAGATGCACATGAACAACATGAATGTGAGTTTTGATTTGTTCCGTCATCACCTAACATTGTTAAACCAAGTTATTTACTTTCATGATGTAGGACCAAAAGCTTTATGGTAACCTACAGGAGTGTACCGATGCTGTTATCAATGTACATGGAATCTTCATAGAGGCAGCTCGCTGGGATTCAAGCAAGGGCGGACTGTGTGATGCCAACTTCGGGGAGCTCTTCTCCCGCATGCCGGTGGTGAGGTTCAAGCCCTGCCTGGAGATTTCCCCAGTGCTGCGATACGAGGCGCCGCTCTACAAAACCCAACAGCGATCCGGTGTCCTCTCCACCACAGGCCATTCAACAAATTTCATTCTGGCAGTTCTTTTGCGCAGCAACAACGACCCAGATTTTTGGATAATGAGGGGTACGGCACTGGTTTCCGGTGTATTGGAAAATATTTGCTAGACCATAGTTTTTGTTTTTTTTTATGCTGCATACTTAAAGCCGTCTTTATTTCGTTTCTTGTTCATTTTCGGTTATTTCTTGCTAGGGTGTACAATACATATTGCGTGTGTGTGTGTGGATTAGTTATTACTATTTAAGATTTAGGCCTTGATTAGTGAACTAGAATACAAACAAAGCTGTATGTTTTTTTTTGTAAATCCATAAAGGAGCTGCTATAATATTTGATTGCCTGCTTTTAGAAATCTTTAGGGATTCCACAAGCAGTTCTCTTGATAAGTAGTTCTGATTTTGTGCACTATTTTCTTCTTTTAGTATCAAAAGCAATTTCACACATAGGAATAAAGTATTTTACAAGGCAAAAGGGTAAGCTCAAAACACGAGCTAAGTACTACTTATGGCAAAAAATTGACAAAGTCTTCATTAAATATCTGACAAAATGTTCTTAAGCCTATGTGTATACATCTTTAATATGTTCGTATATACAAAGTTGCACTTTCTAAGTCTGTTCTCGATATTTTCCATTCAGTTTGATCAAATCTACTTTCAAATTCTAGACCTCGGGGACTCACACACACACACACTGAGAGACAAAACACACACAGGCACAACTATATGTATACATTATGTACAATTCCTTTCGGGTTTCAGTTTAAGTTGAGGTTTCAGATTAAGTTTCGGTTTTGGTCACAGTCTATGTCGTATATCAATCAGGTGGACAGACAGATAACAGATAAGGCAAATCTAACTAATCGACTAACGATGAACATACACTGATAGATAGAGGAATGTGGAGCCTCTGCAGGAGGTGCAGGATGTTTTTTTTTCGCTTTCTGTTCAGCATTTTTGTTCGCCTTTTCTAAGTACTAATACTGCCGTTCGCTACTTCAAATTTTGTGGAAGGTATGAATTTCGAATTGGATTTGGAACCGTGGAAATGTGGCTTAGGGGCTAGCGGTTAGGGGTATAGGTTATAGATATAGGTATAGGTCTTTTTAGTTAGTTGACCGCATAAATGGAATGCTAAATTAGTTCGAAATCTTATGCACTAATTATTGCTGGACATTGTCTCTCCTCAACTTTAAGTACTTAGTGACTAAATATACAAATTAGCTAAACAACGCAAAAAAAAAAAATAATTATAAAATAAAAAAATTGTATAAATTGAATTATTGATAAACTGTCGTATAACTCGTTCCGAAAAATCGTTCATTAGGAAGCACAATTCGGTGGGCGGCAATCGCTGCCTACAATTTCTTACTGTCCATTTCGATCCTGAGATCGGGCAGCGATCCGCGCGCTTGCAGCAAGCTACGCTTCTCCGGATCTTTGACTTTCTTGGGCTTGGGTCGGTTCGTCTTCGTATAGCGATTGATCACGCCATCTGACTCGTCCATCATGCGCAGGATGAGCGCCTGATCGGATGAGTCTAGCGGCGCTATCGAGATATCACGGACGGCTCGGAACTTACCGCAATTGTTTAGATGTTCGTTCTCTAACCGGAAAAAGTTCCAAACGAAGCGCCTAAAACGGAATATAGTTTGTAATTAACATGGAAAGCTTCTTATTTTGAGATTTAAACTCACCGGAACACCTCCAAGATGCCTGTGATGGAGGTCATAATGTCACTGCTCACTATTTTCATCTCGGTGAGGTAGAAAGATAGCACCCAAATAAAGCGTAGCGCCAGATCTTCTATAATGGCGAAGTAGTAGAAACCCTGAAAGGTAAAGCAAGTTTACAGGATTAAAATATTATTCATATTTATACATAAAATATACACTTACCGTCGATGAATACACCACCTCTTCGCGCAGGAAAGTATTCTCGCCGGCATTCTTATCGAACAGACCCCAATCCATCTTAATATCCCAGGTATAGGCATAGCAAGAGGACACAATCGAGGCGATGATCCACAGCCATGTATAGGGATTATCAAATGTGCTGGCGTAGTTAGCTGAAACAAAAAGAGTGCGATCATTAGATAACTTATACTTTGTCGTAAAATAGAACACTCACGACTGTGAAAGCTCTTGAGGGTGGCAAAGATCACTACCAGGAAGGTGGTGGAGTATTTGCCAGCGTTCACCAAATGAGGAAAGGCCTCCCTCGAATCTCGATACCGACGCAGGCATTGTGCAAATCGGAACCAAGCCGGCAGGCAGTTAACAATTGGACGGATGATGAAATCCTTCTCCATGCAAATTGAAGCATCCCTCGCCTCTGTCCAGTTGCCATTTGTGAAATAGAAACAGATGAGGTACTCGAAATCCAGGATTGCTGTGGCCAGCGAATTAAGCTGATCGCCCAGCCAGAAATCGGCGAAGCCAACATGAAAGAACGGCGCAGATATACAACGTCCAGTGATTCGCCACAGCCAAAACCGAGCATCGTGATGGAGGACATGAAACGGATTGGCCAAAAACAGCACCATAATCAGCGTAAGCGTTAGAGGATTGATAAACGCCGGTATGGCCAAGCTGGCGCTGTACAGGAAACTCAACATGCTGAGCGTCCAGACAACACCGAAAATCGCCGCCAGCTCCATAAGATGCTGCTCGGATAGATGATTTCGCGGATCAAGTTCAAAGATTAGGACATGATTCACTCCGGACGACCGCCAGCCGTAAATATTCACGCCGATGAGGAAGATGAACTCGATGATTAGCAGGGGACCGCGATACAGGCGGAAAGTGACCTTTAGATTCTCGCCGCTGATCTCGTGGAAGATGGCCGACAGCACGACCACAATGCCCAGCACTATGAAGCTGCCTGAGAAGAGGCCCACCTTGAAGGTGGTCCACGGACTTTGCTGTTCTCCTAGCGGAGGAACTCGAAGCCTCTTCATTGCTCGCTGGCGATCGCCGCCTTCCAATTCTCCAGTGACCGTCGTCTCCGTCTCATTGATAATATTGTCGATATCCTTGTTTGTGAAGAAATGCGACGCCTCCACATATTCCTGCCTCCATTTGGCACCGCTATCAACGCGCAAGAGCTGTAAAAGATGTAAGGAAACATTAATAGTTGTACATAATTAGTTGCCTATAAAAGTAGTAATTTAATTTGTAAAGAAACGAGAAAAACGTTGATCTAGAACATATCTAACCGATTATTCTTATCTTAGCAGAATGAATGATTCACTGATATTTTATGATTGTTACCGCAGAAAGCACCTACCAAACCGAATACAATTCATTTTCAGCGATAACGCTGACTATTTTTAAGCAAATTTTTCCCCGAAAACCCTACAATAAATTTGTATTATTTATTTCTCCTACGAAATATGTGCTTTTTGCTCTACACTTGTACTACGCCGCAGACTAGACGTAAGCCCCAAAGATCTAGTCCAGGTCAAGGTTCAGTAAATGCCACTGCAGTGACCGTAAATCAGACTTACTTTATCGTGCTTCTTGAGTATTTTACGAAAACCGGTGTGATTCAGATTCTGGTAGTTCTGCAGGAGGATCAGACTGAGGTAAAACTCACTGAAGGCCAACTTCAGTTCACGGGCCTTGCGATCCGGTAGAGCAGCATGCCGTTTCTGACCCTTGGACTTTTTGGCGCTTCGCTCCGACTCCTCAATGGAGGTCTTTAACTCGGCATTTAGAGTGGCAAACTTTCTCGTGGCCTCTGCCAGCTTCTCTGAGTAGAATGTGTTTATCTTCTTTAGCTCCTTGTCACAATAATGAAAGAAGTTCTCATCGAAGTTGGCAAAATGACGCTTCAGCACATCGTCCTCAACGCTCTCCACCGATGGTGCCTCCTCCACGGCCAAATACAGCATGGCCTTCATTTCCTATCATATAGAAAAAATTGGGTCATGAGTTGGTTTGGTTTTATTTTGGGTTTTTTAAGACCCAGACTCACCTCATAGTTGATGTATTGTTTGCGCCACTCAGGCGTTATGTGCGCCGACAGGTGCTCGGCGAACTTCATGGCTGCCGATGTTTTGGCCTGGCTATTCTAGGGCTAGCTTTCTGTCCAATCCAGATCGGATCCGTTCCGTTGATCGGCGCTGCACTGAAGCGCGTCTGAAACAATATTAATCAAGAATTAATAAAAGGTACTTCCTGATATCACACTTTTATTACTTATGCTCAATTATATTTGTTAAGCAAATACAACGTGTGGAAACTCTTGTTTACTTTAAGGTAAGTCATGTGACTTGATTTTCCATTTAAAATCGGTTTATCAATTGCGTGTAAATGAATGTTTAATTATAAAAAAAAAACGTGCAACTAGAATGATAAAGGCATAGGACGTGAAATTCAAGATTAGGGGAGATGTTTTTAAAAGTGATTCATAGTCCAAATAGAAATCTTTTCGCTGTGGCTGAGTAATGCTCAAAGGTTTCATTTTGAATCAAAAAGTACTTGGTAATCCAGAAGCAATCACCACCCAACTTTCTCTATAATTTAACGGATGAGCAATCGAACTAATGGATAATGGCTCAAATCAATGCAGTAGCTAATCGGTCGCATTACCTAAAGCACCTAATATACGACTACCAGCGATCGTAAATTGAACGCTGGTGGGTGTGTTTTTCACAACTGATAAGCATTGGACCCGAAAAAAAAGGGGAACACATGTACATATGTTCATATAAGCCATAATATAACAATTATTGGGGTCTGTGGCATCCGATTCTTTACAGAATATATATAAATATATTAACGGGGCCCGCATAACGAGTTAAGCAAATTGGAAAATTTTTGTCGCCCGTTCAAACAGCAAAAGTCTAAGATATACACAGAGATAGAGATCTAGATGGGAGAATGTTTTAATCAATTGCACAAATATTTGCGTCGCCAACTGTTGCTCGAACATTTGTTGCTATTTATGCCGCTTATATTACGGCGCCCTTCCTCGTTTTCTGGGCGTAACCTCCGCCGCAACCTCTTTTCTACACAGCTAAAAATATTCTGGTATTCTTTAAGGTTTTTTTTTTATAAAAAAGAAACTTCATTACAATACTCTCAAAACGGCTGGAGTTTGAAATCTATTTGTTTTTGATTAGATACATCCTTGACAGCCCTGATAAAGATAGTGGGCAAAAGTATTTGGCAAACATTTTCTGTTATCTTAATCTCATTATCAACATGCCAATTTTTTAATAAACCTATATTTTTAACGATTTAAAGCTGTATATTATTACCTATATATTCTTTCATATTGTTATATATTTATTATTGTAACCTTGTTGACTTCTAATGGCTTGTTCTTAGTGTTTTTCTATGGATATCTTTAATTGCAATAAATATAATATATTATATATTTCTAAAAATCTTACAATATTTTTCATATAAAATTATCAATAAATTAACTAAATTGTAATATATTAACATATCAAGACTGCCTTTTTCTCATTAATATTGGAAATCAGTTTAATAGTTTACTTCAGACCCTATTTTCAGGATGGTATTTTGTTAAATTTTAAATTGTTAATATTTCTAACCAGATTTTTTCCCCCTGTAGAACCATTTCCGTAGTTTATTGTTATTTCCACTTCTGGAACCCAGAAGAATGGCCAATACCTGGGCGATAATTGATGAGAGGGTCAGTGGAGGGGGTGGTCGAATTGGGTGGGACAGACTGGCGGTCAATTAACGTCAACACTAGAGCCTAAATATAGATCGGTTCGCTGATTGATTAGACCACATGCCAATATACCATAGCGAACAATAAGAATCGTAATGGATTAGAGAGGTGTTGTCTCTGATCGATCGACATTGCCGGTGGATCTGAAGTTATCCCGCCCATCTCAGAGTTCAGACCTTATCGCCTTATCGCCATATCGCCGCCGTTCACAGATTTCTCTTCTGTAGTTTAATTAGCACTGATAACGAAACAGCCGGACCGGGTTTATAAAACATGTGCTATAGTGCCGTTTAACACAACAGCACCAACAACAGCTGACACACAAAAGCCCTATAATCGCTGAGACATCGCCGGAACACATCGACGGCACACGTAGACGCAAATATTTGATCAATAAAACAAGAATGGAGGGTTAGTTTCGGGTTACCGAAACCAGATATACCCTTGTCCACAAAATATTGCCATGACGTCTAATAATATGACAGATCTTAAAGCAATTATAAGCCATATACGCGATGGGATTATCTGGAAGAGCTAGCAAGCTTGCTATGACATCTGTGGGCTGTAGTATATATATAAAAAAAATCAGCCAACAAAAATCTGTTCTTGTTTTCAGTATAAAGAGTTCCATTACTTTGTAATCAGTGAAAAATTAAAACAAAGAAAGATATACAAAAAGACAATGTAAGAGGAACATTTTCACTTCATTATTTTTTATCAGAACTCTGAAGCTTGTAAGAATGCAATTTTATAAATGTTTTATCGTACATATGAATTAATAACAAAAAAAAAACAAAATAACATTTAGTACGTATTTTATATCATTTAAAAAGATGAATTCGGAGGTATAATGTTTATAAAGTATAACACTTTTGTACTTTTGAAATTGAAAATAAATAATCCAATGTCAAGGTCTTTGGGTTAGTACGATAAACAATTTACACTAATATTCCTTCATCCACTTATTTTTCTTTAGGTATAATTGAAATTTTTCAATATTTTGCCAACCTCTGATAGTAATGACAATACCCTTTATTTAAAGTGAAGAGGAAACGTTTGTGTCGGTTTTAAAGCTGGGATAAACTGACTGAACTGAACTGAATCGCTGATGTTGGCTTTTTGATTTTTGTGTTGTTGATTACCGCCAGCGAAGTGGGCGGTTGGCAGCGAAGAGGGCGGGTCAGCAGAACATGGGCAGGGGCAGAGGCGGAGGCAGAGCGCCAGCGCAGCTTCAATTCGTCTTGTCTTGTGATTTGTGAATATTAGCCTTGCCTCGATCACAATTGGACAAACGAGACGCAATTGAAGGCACCCAGTCTGAGATTATCGGATGTTGTTTTTTTTTTTTTTTTTTTTTTTGGTGACTTTGGAGGGGTGGGAAATTGCTTTTCAATTACATAAAATTACATACATACGCTGCAGTTTGCACTTGCACTTCGTTCGCCTTCGGGGGTAGGGACTCGGTTTCTATGTTAACATCGCAAGCTGCTCCCATCCACTGGCCATTACTAATTGTCAACAGTCGCTGATTTGTTAAGTACACTGCTTATCACCGAATAGCGCGCATATCACTAAAAACTTAGACGACGGCCGAAATGCGAGGGCCAAACAACAACAAAGAACTGAACGCACAACTGTTGAATTGGGGAAGCTACTATTTACGCGTTCACCAATACTATGCGTTTATCGATAGTGCAAGTCAACGATAAGCGTAAGATGCCACCTTAAATCGTAGAGCGATAGCAACCGATAGCCTAACACCAATAATATATCGACTATCGTAAATATTCGATATCTCAAAACGATTAATTTGCAAAGTGAATGTTTTCTTTAGCCTTTGTGAACACAAACACAAATCGTTACTCCAAATTTAACAAGAACCAATAATCCGACCATCTTACATCCGCGTTCCATGAGTACGAACCTGAAGAACATTAAACTGGCCCACTTCGGTGGTACGCCCAGTTCCGCTGGCTTTGGCATCTCGGCGTCGTCCGGAGGCGCTGGCAAACTGCCCACAAATGGCACGGGTGGCGGCAAATCCGCTCCAGCTAGCTCTTTTACGGAAACCGAAGTCCTGGCCACACCAGGTGGTGTCGTTATACCCATAATACGCACTAGAGACGTACCCAAACTACTGCCCACCATTGCCACTGCGTTGCAGCGCCCTGCAGATGATCATTTGGCCGCTGAAGATTTGGATGCTGTTCAATTAGAGCTAGAACAGATGCTGTCTAATGTAGCACTACGGACGCGTGTCCTAAAAACGGAATACGATAGTCTTGACAAGGACGAGAAGCGCCAGGATCGAAGAAAGCAAGATCGTGTACCAGGATCGCCACCTTGCCCAGCCAGTATGCTAAATGGCCTGCTTGGCATTGGGAGCAACTCCTCCACGAGTCAGGGAAGTCCACTCGGCGGAGGAGGAGCCTCCTCATCAAGTCAATCCAAAAGGAAACGGGACGAGCCAACAGGCGTGCGAAAAAAGCACTCCTCCATGACTATTCTGAAGCAACAAGGTGCAACCAGTGGCTCTTCAAAGCACCAAGCCAAGAACAGCCCTCTGGTGCACACCGATGACAGCATGGATTACCTGCCAAACTTAGTGGCGGCGAATGCCTCAGGTTCTGTGCTGCCACACCACCAGCCGTTGCCCCAGCTTCCCAAAGTGGCAGTACCTAAGAACGACACACCAAACAAATTCTGGCTGTCCGTTGAGCCGTACTGCATGCCGTTGACCAACGAGGATTTGCGTTTAATTGATGACCTGTTGGAGCAGTACCGTGGACCTCTGGTGCCGCCAGTGCCCACCCTGGGTCCCCATTACTCCATAGCTTGGGCGCAGGAGGATATTAAGGCACTTCAGCCAGGTGGAGCACGCATTAAGTCGCACAATGCCAGTGGAATGCTGAAGAAAGCCGAAGGAATGGTGGAGGAGAGCATCACCGGTCCGCTGACACAGCGTTTGGTATCCGCCTTGATGGAGGAATCCCTAATGACGCTGCCCAGCGAACAGGCAGCTGTGGGTGAGCACAGCAACAGCACAACAAGCAGCAGTAACGAGAACACGCATTCGCACTCGTCATCCTCGGCAAATGCAGCAGCTGCTGTTGCTTCTGGAAACTTCCGATCGCTTGCCATGATGAAACATGGCGTAGGCATCGAACAGCGCCTAAAGAAGACTCTTATAGAAAACGGACTGATCGATGCCAGTGAATTTGCAGCCCATGAGGATGTGGACGAGGTGCTGCTGGAGATCAAACGGGTCACAACCGAAATAAGCTCCATTGCCCAGTTCAATAGCGAGGAACTGAAGCGTCTTCGTTCCGCCGCCAGCGAGGAGATCAAGCGTATTGCCATCAAACGAAAATTGGATACCGTGGATCAGGAGATACTTGAATGCTATAAGAGAATGTTGCAATATCGGGCAAAACGGAAGGGTCACACCATCGAAGAGAAACAGGAGATCCTACGATTGACTAACGAACAGCGCCTGTTGGCAGATCAGTTGGAGCGGATGCAAATGCATCTGCCATGCATCGGCGGCACTGGCAGCTCCCTGCTTGAACCCAAGATGTAGGACAGGACCTTGGCCTGGGGCTGGTGCCAGCTAATGGCCATGCATCAGGCAAAGAGGCAGGTCCGGGACGCTAGCCTCAAGCTGCAGTGTGTCTGAAGGTATCCTTCCATGGTATCCCTCCTCCTCTAATTCGCCTCCTTCCTTTTCGCCAGACTGTACATTAGCAAAGATAATTACCCTTTAGTATGTAGTATTTACAGCCCACAGTGTGGATGGTTATGAAATCGAATCGAAAGCTATCTTCGAGTATTTTCTAATAACTATCTACCCTGTATTCTAATCTTTGTCGCCAGACTGTACAAAGATGTATCCTTTAGTAAGTAAAGTTCACTATAAAATTGTATTTAGTTATTAAAATAAGATATTCAAGTGGCGGAAAGTAACTTTTGGTTAATCCTAAGCTGCGCTTTTATGAAGTCCCTAGAGTTTGGTAGGCATGAAGTTTAGCTTAACACCAAAGTAAACACGAAATATGTATATATTTCCTTGATCATTATACCATACTCTCAAATTTTCGATTGTAATTAATGTAACTTAAAGATTCACACATGTTATATGCTAGATTTGAATTTGTAAATAGAAATTGAATATTGATTGTAATAAGCTCCATGTTTGCTAGAATTACCCACAAATTACTATCCGTCTATATGAATCAGAAGTTTTTTTTTTCTGTTTTTCACAATTATAAATATTGATCAACCCTATTTAACACTTCCAAATACATACATACATACACTTTGTATAGCTTAAGTTATCTCGAGGCAATAAAGCTGTCACTATTGAAAGTAAACCGCAGAATTTTCCACTATGGGAGTTTGGTGGAGAAGAACCACCGCACTGGGTGAACGTTGCGTACGCTTTGAATTCGATCTAGTCAGCGACACGGGCCAAGTGGACTCCAGCGGATGTGGAGGAGTACGATCTTTTGTTTACCCAAACGATAAGAAGCAATCAAAGGCGGCAACTCCGGATTGTGGCTAATTAAATCCAAACAAGCGGGATCCGAGGATGCCCTTCCGGGGATCGCAGCCTTCCCTATCTTAATCGCTAATCTCAAAGGCAAATATCTCCAAAATAAAAAAAAACAAAAACTTTATTTGCTGGTAGCAAAAAGGCAGTAATATCTTAAATGAGGAGCTTGAGACTTCTGTGAACATCGCCGGTGGCCTTTCTAAAAGTGATGCAATGAGTGTAAATTATTGATTGTACTTCGTGTATGCTGCGGTGCAGTGGCATGACTTGGTGGATCCCTTCTTCTGCTTCTGGATTCCATATCACAGACGCATCACAGTCTTTCGTATACTATAGTATAAAAACTAGATGGATCCGAGGGAGTTAATCGCCTATGGCAGCAAACTCATCGGGATAATCGGCCTTGATATCGGAGTAACAAGAGACCGGGATGGCCGAGGCATTGGCCTTAAGACGTAGATTGGCATCGTTTGTGACGAGCAACATGTTTGGCACTTGATCGCGCAGCTGTAGGCAGCAGTTGACAATGCTATCATCTGGACAGTCGACTTCGATTTGGTGATCTGCCTCCTCCACAGCCGATTGTGCTGTGGCATAAATAAATTATGTCAATATAAGGAAAAATACATTGTTAATTTTATAACTTACCTTGTATTTCCAGGCTCTCGTCGAACTTTTTGTTTAAATAGCGTATGGCACGCACCGCAATGAGACGCTTTGTATCGTCCTCGTGGTGTTGACTCTTTAACTTGTCCAGTTCCTTGATGACTATGTAAGGAATGTACAACATGCTACCCACAGTACCTGGCAACACCACCTCGGAGAGGCTCTCTACGAATTTAATATTGTGCATCAGGACGTTTGTGTCCAACACGAAGTACATGTGATCAAAAAGCCGATTGGGCAACTCCTCGCCGTCAGATGCTTGGCGCATGAGGAGAATGACTTCTTCCTTATTAGCCAGAGGCTCAACATCAATGGATGCCTCCCATTCCATGGGCTCTGGATCTTTTGCGCTAGCACTGGAGCTAGCAACTATCTTTTTTATACCCACTTCACTACTTTTAGCCATATCATTGTTGTTGAGCTCCTGGGCCTGCTGCAGGGAGTTTCTCAACTGCGATAGACGCTGATTAGCTAGAAAAATATAATAGTTTTGTTTTAAAGGAATTAATAAATTATAGGTAACATATTTTGCACTTACCACTTTGGGAGGTTCCCTCCTTCAAGCGGTTGCTGGCATCAAGCAGAGCCTTTGGCTTCTCCCAGGCATTTATGGTTGAACGACTATTTACTTCCTTGTGAATCTTTGGGCTCAATCCCAGGAATTTTTTCGGCGGCGATGTACCAACAATGAAATTTCCACGAGTGTTGGAAGTTGAAATTGAAGGACTAGTTTGTGTGCAGCTCGATACGGTGGGGTAGCGAGTGGTTGGCCGATTATTGACTTCGACCTTCTTGGCCTGGAGCTTTAGGCGGTCCCCCACGGATTTCCGCGGCGGAGTTGCATCAATAATAAAAATTCCCCGAGAGCTGGAAGTTGAATTTGTAGCACTAATTTGAGTGTTGCTTGGTGTTGTGAGGCACCGCGTGGTCCGCTTGCTGTCCTTCTCTTTTTCCTTAATGGGTTTTTTATCCTGCAACTTCTTCAAATTTGTTTGCAAGCGCTTGAGACGATCCTGGGCAGGTTGCTTTATGCCAGGAATAACTGCTGAAATGGATTACTTATTAGGGTCATATTTTGTATGCAAACGCATGGGGTCAAAATGTTACCATTTGGCACACGCGGATTTCCGATCACCTTATCGCGGTCCTCATCGCTCAAAATACGTAGATGTGCTACATTGCTGCTCTGTTTATTTTTGTTATTGACAGACATGGTGAATTCTCAAACATTTAATTTTTGGCAAATAGTGTTTTTGCGTCACTGATTTGTTTTTTGCTACTGGCTAACATAGAGATGTACCAGCCGAGCCAAACATAGTCGATGTCCCGCTGGTTTCGATAGGTAAGTGCATCGATGTTAAACAGATTACCGATATGTTACGTATTTCGAAAGGTAAGTGTATCAGATGATAGATAGGTAAGTGTATCAGATGACGGTAGCATAGACAATAACAAGTTATCGAAAAAATACCAGTAAATCCCTTCTTAGTATATTTTGGTTATTTCAATGCAAAATAGCAGCGGTCACACTACGCCGGTTTCGAATTGTTTAACAAGGTTTTGTGTAAAGCTTTTTCCACTACTAAGTAACCACCGCTTTTCGCACCCACAACACAACTCGGCAGAATGATCAAGGTATGTAAAAAGGGGGCGTGGCTGTAAATAAGGACCGTATAGTGATTAACAGTGGCAATTAGTGCGGACAAAATGAGTGACGACCCGGCGGCCGGGTGCAAAGTCCATTTGGGATCTGAACTCGTGTCTATGGGAGACCATAAATAACCGTATCTGCGTCCGAGGCTTTGATGCACCTTGTACCCGCCGAGCAATTAGCATTACTTCTTCGCGAGTTATACAATAACATAATCAGCACGGGCATTATTTGGAAACTGAACTGATAATACCATCAGCTGCTTGGTAAAAATATGATAATTCACGTTCGGAGATTTTAGTTGAATTTTAGTGTGAGATGTGGATTCAATACAAATAAATATAGTGTGTATATACGGATTTATTACCGTTTGTATATACACATCTACAAAGTAAAGAATAACAGTTTAAAGATCGCAGTTATTCTGATTAAATTTCCTGGCTTATGCAGTTGCTTTGTTTCTAACGGTTTTCTTTTATCTAAATATCTTTTTGTTTAGAAATAATAATAAATAAACGAATATCTTCCTATAGAATGCAGTTTCCTTGGTGACCGGAGGAGCCTCTGGACTGGGTCGTGCCACTGCCGAACGCCTGGCCAAGCAGGGAGCTAGTGTGGTTCTCGCTGATCTGCCATCTTCCAAGGGCAACGAAGTTGCCAAGGAACTAGGCGACAAGGTCGTCTTTGTTCCTGTAGATGTCACCTCCGAGAAGGATGTGAGTGCCGCCTTGCAGATCGCCAAGGAAAAGTTTGGTCGGCTCGATCTGACGGTCAACTGTGCTGGCACGGCGACGGCAGTGAAAACGTTTAACTTTAACAAGAACGTGGCCCACAAACTGGAGGACTTCCAGAGGGTGATCAACATTAATACTGTGGGAACATTCAATGTTATCCGTTTGTCGGCTGGCCTGATGGGTGCTAATGAACCGAATCAGGATGGACAACGTGGCGTGATCGTAAACACCGCTTCGGTAGCGGCCTTCGATGGCCAGATCGGTCAGGCTGCTTACTCTGCCTCCAAGGCGGCGGTGGTGGGCATGACTCTGCCTATTGCCCGTGACCTGAGCACCCAGGGCATCCGGATCTGTACAATTGCCCCTGGTTTGTTCAACACCCCCATGCTGGCTGCCCTGCCGGAAAAAGTGCGCACCTTCTTGGCCAAGTCCATCCCATTCCCACAGCGTCTGGGCGAGCCCAGTGAGTACGCCCATCTGGTGCAGGCCATCTTTGAGAACCCACTTCTCAACGGCGAGGTTATCCGCATCGATGGTGCCCTCCGCATGATGCCTTAAATCTGGATACCATGGATCCAGAACATCCCGAAATGGCTCGATCAGTTTGCATTTATCTATTGTCTAGTGATTAAGCTAAAAAGTTTTATTATCTGTCCCGAAATTATGTAATAATTGCTATTAAACACACTTTCTCACATTTTTAACTATGGAGGCCCGTCTGCTTGGCGCTTTTCACCACACTTACGGGATAGCAACAGGTGCAGAAAGAAAATTGTTATATTTTTTATATTCAATATTTATATAACTATATTCAAACATCAAAAAGAGATTATATGATGAGATTTTTTGGATATTTTTAAAAATATGAAATATTAAAATAAAAATTAAGCGGTATATTAAGGCAGCCCTCCTCCAGCTGTTAAAGCTTTTCATGCAAGTTGGCAGTTCTGCTTTTAATTGTAAACAAACAAGTCGTTTGGAAATCGGCTTCGGAAAGATAATGCCGCCATATGAGCGCTGCGGCGAGATCGTGTGGTTTTGCAAGAGGCAGGCGCGTGCTTTTGCCTTCCAGTGTATCTATTGCGAGGATAGCAGGACGACGACATTCAAGGATTTCAAGTTGCATCTTGATTTGAAGCATTCAGATTTGTTTCAGGACGAAAGGGTGGAGTTAATGCCGCTTATAGCACACAGAACATGGACACCACGTGTTGCAAGAGATCAAGAGGCAGAAAATGACCCCTTGAAAACACAGAACATAGATCACATTAAACTTGAGGAATCCTCATCAGAACAAGATGCACAGGCCACAGACACTGAATGTGAAGTGTGCGAAGAAGAAGATAGCCTACTTGACTATCTAGAAAGCGATAGCCAGAGTATTACATATACACAGTCCACCAATAAGGCGGAAACCGTGAGCTTCAATATTTTACCATGGTTCCTACAATTACCTCAGCTTTTCTTTTCTTTTTCCAGCCCTCTACTGTTACACCTTCCTCGCATTTTTGGTTGCTGGAGCACCCCATCATGCTCGCTTTCATCGACCAGCTAGAGCAGCAGCGTTTGCTCTGGGACTTGGGCATAGTTAGTTACCGAAGCTATAAGCGGCGCAACGAAGCCTGCGAGGAAATAGCTAAAGGCCTTAATGACCAATTTGGACTGCATCTAACGAAGCAGGAAATAGCGTCCTACGTCAAGCAGCTGAAAGTTGTTTATTTTAAGGAAAAGATCCGCTTGGAGCGGATCACAGAACAATCAGCCCACCCAGAGTGGTATTACGAGCGGCTTCATTTCCTGGCGAAGAGCCTGCGACGAAAACGGCATCCCAAGATGTTGGGCACTATCGATGAACCACTAGCAGTGCCCCACCTGAATCATGATCAGCATCTGAAGCTCATCGAGCTATACCGTCAGTGTAGTGCTAATTGGGATATGCAGGACTTGTCCTGTCGATTGAATCAAGTCCGCCAGGCGGCCAGGAATCGCCTTCTGGAGTTGTGCCGCACTGAACTAGCAATTCCGATCGATCCCACACAGCTGCAAAGTTATATTGGCCACCTGAGGAAAACTTATCAGGAGGAAAAGGTGCGCCGACTGAATACTGAACGTGAGGGCAGGTTGTTTAGCTCCCGATCCCCCTACTACGAGACTTTAGGCTTTTTAGAAAACCATATGGCCCCCTTCAAGTGCGATATGTGCCAGGAGTTGGTAAACAGCGTGGACGGCTACAAAATTCATCGGGCTGAGCACGATGGTAGCCTGCCCTTTGTATGTCCCACATGTGGCAAGGGCTTCACAAAGTGTGGCAATTGCACCATTCATATGCGGAGGCATACACAGGATTATTATTTAAGTTGCGAAGAGTGCGGCAAGCGGTTTGCCACCTCCACCGACCTTACAGTTCATCGACGCTCGCATACCGGGGAACGACCCTATTGCTGTCATATCTGCGGCGGACGCTATAGCACTGTCTCTTTTTTGAAGAGACACAAGCGGCGGCATGAACAGCGTCCCGTGGCCAAGTGCCACATCTGTGGCAAGGGCTTCTTCGAGCGAACCGTGCTGCGAGATCACATCAAGGGTCACCTGAATGTGCGTGATAAGGAGTGTGATGTGTGCCATAAGCTGTTCACCAGTGCCAAGTACCTGAAACGACATAAGGAGATTCACGACGAACACAAACGATACTTGTGCAAGACCTGTGGCAAGGGATTCGCCCAGAATGCTGGACTCAAGGGGCATATGAAGTCGCACGACAAAAAGCGAATTAAAGCCGAAGAGGTACAATCCCTAAGTAATTTCAGCGAAATCAAGCAAGTAAATCCATTGATTGGTAGCTGATAAGTATAAAGGCTGATAAGTAAAGATGGATTGTACATAGACTTGTATCTATATCCATGAATTGTATCTAACAAGGTATTTTTCTTATCAGAGTAACAGAAATGGATATATTTCAAGGAATATAACTTTGGCTATGGATTTTGAACCGTTTTAAAGGCAACTTCCAACTTTTCCTAATCCACGGTACAATATATACCAATTCGAATATAACGAATGTGCTTTAAAACTACTTATCACATTTTTGTATGTATCATCACTGGAATTGTACTTTTTCCTTTACCGGATATTGGTAATACGGTACTTCCTACCCATTAACAAAAAGGCAGTTCTCTTCACATCACTATCGATAAGCTATATCTGTATGGAGTGGTCAAGGCCCTGACTTGCTCCAGTTACCCAGAATGTTGCCAAAGTCCAAGCCAGCGGGGGATACAGTAACCCGCAGCAGAAGCCACTGCCATTGTAAACAGAACGTTATGAATGTGTGATATATCGTGTAGATGGGGAGAATAGGGACTACTCCAGGGCAATTCACACATTATCGTCCGTTTTGTGACAGCTATTGTTATATTTATATTTGTATCGAGTGCCTTAACATTTGTTTGGTTCGTCGGTTATCTTATCAGCGGGAGTGTCGGAGTGGCTGGGACTGTGGAACAATTGGAACTGCGATAAGCGCCCCAGAATTCCAACTGTTCGCCTGCTAGCCAGTCAGTTGAAATCGGAGCTGCCTGCGAATTATCCACTATCCATGACCGACCGGCAATCGAGCCTCTGATACTGCGTCATCCAAACGGGAGAGATCGGTCAAGGAAAAGTGTTAATCGGAAGCCCAAGAAGTGATTTGTGGTCAACTTGTGTTGCTGCTGTACAAGGTGTTGCTTTAGCAGTTGCAACTTCTTTAGACAACACTGAACCAGGCGGCGGAAATTTACTCTTGACAAGCGGAAGAGGTGGGTGTTTACCACAGTTTGCACTGTCATTAATCATTTTCAAACTATAAAAATTGGATTTTTTTTCCATATTTTTCTTTTTTATATAATATTAAAAACAAAATACTTTATGAATGATTCTGGTTTGTATAATTTAGCTTAAAGTTTTGTATTAGTTTTTTTTTAATTACCAGTGCCCACTGTCTGTGCTATCTTTATTTAAACTCAATAGTCATAAACTAATTATACTTACGATTATTTCTTTCCATACAGTTCTACACTGACGTCACTTGCCACCAGGGGGAAGTGAGGAAGGAGGAGTAGGGCTCTCCACTGGTCAGCTGCCTCACCCTTTGGCGATAAGACCAAGAGCAGCCAATCGAAAAGAAGTGGGAAGGGAACACGATAAACGATCCCAGCATCATGCAGACGACGACAAGTCAGCGGCCAGTAACGCCTGGCACTCCAGACTCGGCACATATCGTAATCGGTGCTGCTGGATTTGTGGCCCACGAGAGACGCCAACCCGGAAAGACCCTGATGAATTGCTTTCGTGATCGCTCCACGACATCGTCGCAGGCCCAACATGCCTATGCGCGTGGCCATAGCGTTACCTCGGGCACACTGTTTCGCCTGGAGGGCAATGGCGGTTCCAATTGCACCTTGGATAAAGTTGGAAAACAGGATACAGGGCGTCCCGAGGCGGTCGTTCTTCTTAGAGAGCTAAAATCTAAACCCAATAAGCTGGCTCTACTTAAGAGCAGCAGTACCAGAGATCTAACCCGCCTGTTCCTGGATGATTCGACCAACACAGCCGTGCTGGTGTCCAATACAAGTCTAGATGTCTGCTCCTCAAATTCCAGTTCCGGTGGCAGTCCGGCGGTGGGCAGATCCAGAGGCAGAGAACGCCAGAGTGGAGTAGAATGCTGCAATAGCTGCTCTAAGCGCTGGCATGACCTTAAGCAGCGTATGCACACCCTTGAGCAGGATCTGCTAGTCCAGACCACCTACAGCCAGGAATTGGAGCAGAAAGTGGGTGAAATGAGTCGCCAGTTGGGAGAACTGCTCCAGGAACGGGACAGGGACAAGCAGGATAAACAACGCTCACCAGGAACAGGTGGTAGTGGAGGATCTGGCAAGCGTAATCACCATCCCGCAGGCAGTCCCAATGTCCGACCTTCGCGCCTGGTGGCCTGGATGAATCTATCCAATTGGTTTAAGAGCAGACCCAGCGTGGAGACCCTGCGAGAACAGCGCATCTTTTTCGACGAGCCCTGCTTCGATACGGAACTGGAGTTGGTTTTGAAGCACGAACAGCACCGCAATGTGCCCCGTATTGTGGTCGATTGTTGTGATCTCATTGAGAACAAGTACCGCAGGTCCACGCAGCCCATTGAGGGCATCTACCGGCAGTGTGGCGATTACAATAAAATCCAAACACTGCGCTTCAATATCGATGCCAATGACTATGATGCATTGCGTCAGACGGACGTGGATATACACACGTTGACTGGAGTGCTGAAACTTTTCCTGCGCGAAATCAAGAGTCCGCTAGTTAGTGTCAACGAAGCCAAGACCTTTATTGGACAGCCGAATCAGTGGCGTAAGTTGGGAATCTTTCAGTATAAAAGTTTTACATCTAATCCCATTTATATCCTTCCCACAGTGCTAACCGATCTTTCCGTCAAACTGGATACCCTTAAAAGGCTGATACGCTCGCTGCCGGAGACCAACCGCGACACTATGGACTACATCTTTGCGCATTTTAATAGGTGAGTAGTCTAAATCCTTTAAGTCGGAGAATAGTGTAGGAACTTTTCCTTCAGTGAAATTCTATATTTTATCATCATCATTTCCGAGAAACCCTCAATAGTGCCTTTTAATTGCAGTTTCGAAAATATTATTTAGTTTTATGAATGACTCAAAGTTGATTGTCAATTTGAATATTATTCATAGTTTTGGCATTGTATTTCTGCGGAAAAATAATAGAAATACTAATAACTAAATGTTTACTTTTATAAAATAAGAGGTCATTTTTAATAAACAAAGAACACAGATGTAATTACTAGAGGTTCTGCGACTCTTATGCCTTTTTCTAAGAAAATAAATTTAAGGAGTTTCTTCTATAAAATTCATAAAAAACTCATTTAACTTATCATTGTAAATGCAAGTGTAAATTGTGTGTAATATTAATATTTACATATTATTTCACAGATTAACCAAGGTGCCGCTGCAACAGATCAGCGCCGAGACGCTGTCCATCTCAGTGACGCCCACGATTTTCCACACAGTGCCGCAGGGCATCCACATACAGGACATTCAGCAACTTCTACGCGAAGGTGAAACTCTGGCTGACTGCGTCAAACTGATGATCGAGTACCAGGGGCGTATATTCGAGTAAGTGAGCCCCATAAAGGAGGAGGACCCCCACGTCTCCCTGGTGAAGGTGCATTGGTTTCCGGCCGACCGCTACTGTATTCCCCAACAAAAACCCCAAATCCCAGCTGCTTAAATCTCATCAAAACTGATCACCCTTGTGCCGTTGTCTCGAACGCTTTGCTAACCACACGAAATCCTGAACCTGAACCTGAATCCGAACCCACTGTACCTGCACCTCCAATCCTCCATTCCCAACGATCCCCTCGTCTACAGATGCACCGCAGATCGCCGCCGCCTGAGCATGCGCAACCTGAAGAAGACTCTTTCGCAACCGGATCTGCTCTTTCATAATTTCTTCTGATCTGACCGGATGACACTGATCCTTTGGATCCATAGGACTGCCTTTATTCCATCATGCCAGAAGGAGAGAGAGAGCACTGTACATAATGAATGACTTTAGGCACTTAAGTTTACTAACCTAACCACATGCAGGCGTATTAACAACTATGTCCTAATATTTTTTTATACAGACTTTTTTTTATTCTTTAACTAACTAACGTTTATATTTATGTTTAATAAACTGAAAGGCCTTCGCCTTTATAGAGTGTATAAGTGAAATATTTATATCATTGCAAAGACTTTGAAAAGCTTAATGGCGCTCAGTTATATTACAAAATAAAGTAGTTTACATTTGAGTACCCCAAGTTCTTAATCGGCTCAACGTATTAAATGGAACTAAGCTGACTAATATGCTCACATAATTTTACGAAATTCCGCGAAGATCCAACTCACGTTAATCCCCAACACTTCCTCTGATGAGTCATTAAAATTTCAATTGGATTTTCACTGGCATATATATATATTTTTTTTTTTATTTTGAACTCCTATGTAACATGGTGGAGCATTGTTTAGGAAGAGATAAGGAGCAGGGAATGCGGGGTGATAGGGACGGAGGCAGTTGGGAAGAATCTATGATTTTGCAATACAGTCTAATCGTCACTAGAACTAATATGTAATAGATATATATATATGTATATTTTGTTTAAAAACCAACTGGTTTTAAGTGCTAAGTGGCCTATAAACATATAGATTTATATATATTAGATATATGCTTGTATGTACTAGATTTATATTAGGTTCGTTATTAGCAATGCACTTTCTAGACTTGATTCAACATTAACATTATATTTTTCGACATATGTGGTAGGTGTATATCTTATGCGTGGGCCTTTCGAAATACATATATGTATGTGTATGTGTTGTGTACACGTAAAGCCATCTGATTTAGCGCTACTAAAATAATGACAAAACATTTCGCTCGCTCTTCTGATCACAATTCGGGGTTAATCGATGCATGTATGTATATGAATGATTTCTATGATGTAAATATAGGTAGGATTCTGATTCGGTTAGTTTCCAATGTGGGATTTTACAAAACTGAGGTGGTGTATGATTGCTTGGGCAATCATGAAAATTAGATACATATCAAAGGCACAGGAATATTACACACATTTTACTCTAAGGGTCTAGGGTCCTCAGAACTGAATTCAACTGAATAACTACTGGGTTTACCATGGCAGCTGCCGTATGCGCATCAGATCTGATAAAGCTTACGCTAAATTATATATAAAATCCACTCATTTCCGGTTCTTATGCTTTGTTGTATACATTGCTAACGCTTGTGACGTTTCCTATTAAAGTTTTGCAATTCTACTTAAAGAACGGGTTCTTCGATGCTGATGACTTCATGGTGCACAATATCTGACGTTCCAATTGGAAGTCATAATCTAGAGTCTTAAGCAACGTGGAGATTTCTGGCAGTGTAGGTATCTATTATATATAGTACATATAAATAATCGAATTAGAGAGAGAAGGAAACAGCTTTTGCTTGGATCACTCACATCAGTTACAGCTTGGTTACGCTGCAGCCTAATGTCCATGACAAAAGGCACTCCCTCCAGTTCAGTGTAAGTGCCCAAGGTGCCGGTTCCGCCGTAAATCCCACGTCCTCCTCCGCTGGAACCCATTCCCGCTGGACGGGGTGGGGCCGGTCGCTGGGGCGAGTTAATTTGATAATTGGCTTGGATCTCTTCATAATCATGGTGTTCAGTCGGTGGCTGTGGCAGCTAGTTAGTGAAATGGGTAAGCATTAGTTAATGATAGGTTACAACCGAATCCTACTTACTGGTCCACGAGAATTACGCTGGCCCTGTAGGTTTAGGCGATTGAGGGCCTGCTCCACCTCGCAGGTGGCTGGAGCTGGAACTCCACCACCCGGCACTGGTGGGGACAGCCGCATTGGAATCGCGCTCGTCTTGTAGCAGATAAGCACTCCGTTGATATCGCCAGCCAGCTTAAAGCCATCTGGTGCTGCTTTTAGTTTGGAGCATAGTATAATGTCGGTGACCGCCTGGGTCACAGTACCCCGCTTGGAGAGCTTGTAGATAACCTGTCGTTTGCGCCAGGCCTTCTGGTCACTGTCGGCAGTGCGCGACACCTGCGAGAATTCCTTGGGCGGTGCTGTTTTATCCGCAATTACTCTGAAAATCAAGAAGTTTTAAATAAATAATTCACCAACAAAATAGATTCGCTTACTGTAGAGTCTCTACCACGTATTCAGGCAATCCTTCGGACTTGGACAGGCACAGATAGCGCGTATTCTGGCGCCCAAACAGGCTGTAGTCACGCCAAAGATCCGCATCCGAATCCTGGTCGTAGGTTCGACTGATGGCATTAAAGTTTTTCGGGCAGCTAAAAAGAGAATTGATTGTTATTATGGAAACATCAATTTTTAGTGGAAAAATCCATACTAACCGATCGAAATCTTCGACGATGTGCAGTGAGGTGATTGGCCGATTGTCTGGCAGGAAGCTCATGATGGAGTTGAACACATTTGTAGTAGTGGCCGACCCAGCTCCATTGGTCGCCTCCAGTGGAGATCCCAGTAAAGCCGCCGTGGTGAGTGCAGAGTTTGGTGTTCCACCCAGCCCTGAGATGCCGCTTTGAATGTGCTTGCCCACCTTGTTCATCGCTTAGTTTCCTAAAGAAAATTTCCAGATACAGGCCATTAGTTAGTTGCTGATAACTGCGTTTTCGGATTAGAGTAATGTCCTGTATTCGTAGCAGGTAAGAAGATAAGGTATCATCCATAGTAGAATAATTACCACCCTTTAGATGGGTAAATGTATATTAAGAAGTTAGATATTAATATTAATATATCATAACTTTCATAAGTTTACATATTTTCGGAATATTTTCTATTTTCTCTTTTGATGTTGAGATACATAACTTTATTTTTGAAATTTAAGTTTCTACCTATTTAAATTTAATTTTATAAGACTTTCATTCACCCTAAACTCAAAATGGCACTAAATAAAAAAAAATATGAAGACGATTCTAATGGAAAGGTAAAGTGTACATTTAAGAACCTAAGTACCTAGATAAGATTATTATCAACTACTATTTCAAGACTAGGTAGACAAAAACTAACTTAACTATAAAAATAACTATATAAATATTGGAGTATTAAATTATAAAAAACTTGGTATAAGTACACATGAACCTAGTTACCGATACCCCTCCAATATAATACATCTCCCATCGGAACTGGTATTCGGAGGTGCTTTTTCCCGCCCCAGACAAATGATTCATGATCTTGCTGCTGGGTTTTTTGCATGGCATTCTTTTGTAGGTCGCTCAGCCAGGGCCAGGTCCGAGTTTCTCTTTGGCCACTCACATATTCAAAGAAATAAAATAAACAAACAAACTGGCCCGCACGATCGTTTGCGCACTTTACAGTAGTGGAGATGATATTTTGTTTTTTCGTTTTCCGGACTGTCAATATATTCTAAATTTAATTACTGATAAGATATACTGTGCAAGGTGACGGCCGGTAACTCTGAGTCATCCAGAAACTGCAGAAACCAAGTGCAAACATAGTATAATAAAAGCCCGTTTACAAGAAATCAAAACAGAACTCAGACAAAGAATAACCAATATAAACAAATAAGGTACCAATATCAACAATAACTGGAAAAAACGTATACTTAATACGATAAAGGGTTTATTTATATCGTCACGGAAAAAATGTGAGCTATATCAATAATTAAATATTAATTGGAAATCGTTTGGTATCTGGTTTAAATATAAATTATATAAGTGCAGACCTTATCATACCTAGACCTAGGTGATATTAGATTATTGAGTGGTTCTATAGTTTTGTAGTAATAAAATAATTGTTATTTTGTATTATCTTATATAATTATAAGGATGTTTTTAATATGGTTTATATAGTATTCCTTAGTTACACTTCACGCGTAAATAAATTTATAAGATCTCGTTTTCCCCTGTTCGCGTACTTTCTATGGTTTCAAAAGAAAAACCTCTTTGGCGCGCAGACAAAGAAAGGGGGGATTACTTTAAGTATGTGTATATATAAGTTTTGGGAAGTGAGGAAACTCCGGCTGATAACCAAAGTGGAGCACACTTGGCTTAAAAATAGAAACCATAAACCATTCGAAAACATCCCGCACACGATTCCAATTATAAGTGCAAATTGCCAAGAAATGAAGAGAGGTTCCCTCACCCATCTGTTACCCCCTCTCCACTCAAAAAACAACATTAGTGGACACAGCATCCACATATACGTACGTACACAATTAATAATTCCCGATGGAGCGATTCGGGTTCGGATAACCTATGACTCCAGGGGGCCCGAAACAATCCAGTTCACTCAGTATTATATTAACCGATTGCACTATTCAGGCCGGCGAGTCATTAAGTGCAACAATTAAGATCTGATCCGGTCACCGATTTTATTTTAATTTCGAGTACGACGTCTCCTATTGTTTGGCAAATAACAAAAAATACACTGATTTATTTGAGATGGTGTAGGTCCGACGGTACTATTTTTCTAAACATCGATTGTATACTATCGATATATATGTATATATTGTAGCATTATAAGAAATATATATTCACAGTTAAATTCCCTAGGATTAATTATAGATTAACTTCCAATTTTTAAAGATTTTAATTATTTCATTAATTTATAAAACAAAATTACAGCAGAGCCCCGATACAGTTATCAAAGAGCCTATGGTTCATTCAGTGTTATCGGTGGGTTCGATAAGTGCCCATCTCTAGCCGCTCAAGAATTTCATTTGGTGTTTTTTTTTAAAGTAAACAAATTTAGAACTAATATAATGGAAAAGGTGGAAGCAGTAACTGTGCCCAACGTAGATGCTTATAGGCGGCTTTTGAACAAGGCGGTATCCCAGTTATTGGTGGACAAAGGCGCCGGCCAGGCGAGCAACCAGTGTTTGGAGACGCTTACCCAGATGCTGCAGGCGCGTAAGTAGAAACTAGGATTAATGTATAAAGCCCTGGAAAATGATGAACCTTTCAGTGATTGGGGAGATTGGTAATTCAGCGCACAACTACTGCGAACTGAGTGGACGCACTATGCCCACCGTGGGCGATGTAAGCTTGGCTCTAATCAATATGGGTATCTCCATTGCCAGTCTGGATCCGTACATGCGAAAGGAAACGCATGTGCCAATTCCCCTACCGCCACAACAGACACAACAGCGTCCATTGAGTCTACTCCAGGCGGGCAGTAAGTCCTCGCATCCGCACTATGTGCCCAGTTATTTCCCAGCCATGCCCGATCCGCACGCCTACATACGGACGCCCACGCACAAGCAGCCTGTAACCGAGTACGAAGCCATACGAGAGAAAGCCGCATGCCAGAAGCGGGACATTGAAAAGGCGCTAACCAAGTTCCTGTGCAAGACCACAGAGACGAATAACCTCTTTCCCACCGAAGACAACATGTTTCCCTGTATGAGGATTTTAAATGACTAAAGAACTTTCAGTTAACCAGTTTTCTCTTCCAGTAATTGCCTGCAAGCCCGCATTTCCTCCATATGCAGCTGCCTTGAATCCCACGGATCAGGTGTTTGACTTTGAAGAGCTGGAGTATCACTATCTAGTGGCCAATCGCACAGAAGATGTGCCCAGTAAAGGTTAGTTCTTGTTTGATAAAAATATTCCAATTTTCTTAAAAATATTTTCAATTTCAGAAGACGGTGAGGAAGGCGACAGCGAGAATGAGGAGATGGACGGCGACAAGTCCAAAGAGGAAAAGCCCGAGCTGGAGATCAAGCCCAATTCCACCACCAACAAGGCTATTTTGGAGAACCCCAATATAGATAATCCCTATTTAAGAGCCGCCACACTGCCTAAGCGTTCCAAAATTCCGACTCCAGGGATCATGCCGAGCAGAAGTGTGGCCAGCACGGCTCCAACGATACCAACGCCTTCCACTCTAGAGATAACCACAAGTAATGCCTAAGCGTATAAGCGGTTTTAATAACTGTTAGAAAATTGAAGGTCTACATTTTGGGTAATATCTTCTCCAATCTATTGCTAGATCACTTTTTGAGAAGGTTCAAGGTAGTTCAAATCAATTCTAATCATATTTAAAACTTAATCTTTAAAAACACTTTGAAATATGCTAAACAAATGGCCTCAGATCCTGAGATCCGAGATTCAATTTTGAATACGTATCAGACAGATATTCTTAGAACTAAAAGACGAGGCAGATCGCGAGTAAATTTACCTTTACTAAAGTCGGAACCAATTCCTTCTCGTTATAAATATATTTGCATATAACTTACGCGATAGAAATATTGAAAGCTTTATATTTAAATTTGAAATATAAATATTTTCTTACATATTATTTAAAAAAATGTTTCTTACGGATCAATGACCATCTGTCTTTGGACATCTGCAAATCGGTTATGTTCTTCAATCTCTAAACCACTAATCCAGCGGCAAATGCACTTCCATTAAGGCAATTGAGGAAGGTCCATTCGTGCCCTGTCTATTAAGATCAATTAGACAACAAATAAGGCATCGACTACCGCTCTCCGAGATTTTGCATATAAAGCCGCATATTCACTGCCACAATTGCATATCGATCCATGATGTCGGACGCATCGGAGGAGCCTCCATTATATCTAACGCCTCAGTTCTTCAGGCGCACCCTGGAGCACGGATTGCAGCAGCTGGATTTGCAGGTCATCGGGGTGCAGCTGACAAATCTGACGCGTGGCGGCGAGAATTACTGCAGCAATATCTACCGGGCCCAAATTAGATATCGCAATGCTGAGAACTGTGTCTTGGATACATCCTTGATTGTCAAGTCTATGCCGGACGAGAAGCAGGCGATTCTGGCTCGCCTTCATATTTACAACAAGGAGACCATCTTCTATATGAACATCAAACCGAAATTGGAGGCGCTCATGTGGTGGGGGGACAATGTTTCCAATTCTTGGACCTTGGGTGCCAAGTGGGTGAAACCGAAAATTCTAACAAAGAGTAAGGAGTAACATTCTTTTTCTAAGGCACTACTACTCCACAACTCAGCCGGAGCAAACCATCATATTCGAGGACTTGTGCTCGGAGGGCTACCAGTTAAAATGTCGTCAGCTGGGACTGGATTTCGACCACTCTTCTCTGGTGATGCGTAAGTTGGCTGAGTACCATGCTCTTACCATGGTAATGGCCGAAAGGGAGCCGGAGACAATTGTGGATCGTTATCCATTTGGTCTGCTGCACATGGACGCTATCAAGTCGGAACCATTCAAGTTGCTCTTCGGCACTCAACTTCTGAAGCTAGCCGCCTTAGTGGGTGATTGCGAAGGATTCGGTGGGATCACCACGAAGCTGCACAGATACCACGAACACTTTACAGAGAGGGTTCTGAAGGCGGTTTATCCACTTCGCGGAAAGCATAATGTACTAAATCATGGCGATCTTTGGGTGAACAATATATTTTTCAAGTACGATTCGGACTACAAGGTGCAGCAAGTGAAAATTGTAAGTAATGCAGTTACCTTATTATTGAATCTATGAAAACTAACCTAGCTGCCAATTCAGATTGACTTCCAGCTTTGCTTCTACGGTAGTCTGGGATTCGATATAAACTACTTCCTGAACACCAGCTTAGAGCTGGAGGTGCTACGTGACCGGCGGCAAGAGCTTATCGATATATATTACAAGACTCTTGTGGACACCCTTAAGCATTTGCCATGGTCCAAGCCGTTGCCCAGCTATGAGGAGATCATGGATGAAGTCAGGAAACGCGAGGCCTACGGTTTCTTTGTGGCCTTTGGCTTTTTTCCGCTGATGAGCATGATTGGTGTGGACTCTGAGGACAACTCGCTGAAGAACTTCCACGACGAGACCTTTGCTAGGCAGAAGGTACAGCTTATGTTCGAGGGAAACGCTCGCACCTTGGAGAGCTTGAAGTGCACCCTAAAACGTTTGGATGAGTTAAAACTGTTTGACTAAACAGTTAATGCATGGTAAACATATTTTTTTTCTATTCTTTAATAAACAAAGAAGGCAAGCTTTAGTTTAGATATCCTTGCCAGAAATATCTTTAAAGCGAGTATATATCTATGACTGGTTTAAACCGATTTTCATACATTTAAAAACTTTTTACTCAAAACATTTACTATTTCCAAACCTTCTTTCCTTGACAAAACCTTTAAATTACAAAATTCAAAAGTAGTGTCCAACCATATTAGTTCCAATTAGGATTGCGTGGTGCATTTTGTAAAATCCAATTAAATGTACTTCACCCTAATAAATCTCGAAACGTGTCAAAGTTCCAGCTTTACCAAAAAAACTAAAAACAAGCCCGCTAGCACAAGCCAATTATGAGATGTAAAAATATTGTTGTCCAACCGTATTAGTATCAATTACGTGCATAGTGATTTCATATTTTTCATTAAATCGAATTAAATTCGAATCATTCATTGCCCTTGCTCATTTAGCATATGCGAGGATAACAAACCCTTCAGCCCCAGTCTCCAGGATTCCCTAAAAGTGCACCCAATCATGTGCAGAATTACAGTTTGTTGTAAATTAGGGAGTGGGCTTCACGGCCAGAATGCACTCAGTCATTGGCAATAATTTATTGTGAAATAATTGTAATGAACTGCAATTGAATTAAACTGTAAGCCGGGATTTATGATTTGATTATGGCCAGATAGTGCCCAGTATCTGACATGTCCGAAAGTACGTTAATGCAGTGGGATTTTAAGATGGGTATATTTAGGATAAACTGGAGTCTATGCGATTAATCTGTTTCTATAAAGTTATATGTAGACTTCCATGAAGCCTTAAGAACTTTCGCAGTTTCAGCAAAATATTTTGAGACGTGTATTTTCTTCACAAAATGAACACTGCACCAATGCATATGTGGTTATTGTCTAGAAATGTGCATTTCACATTAATCCACTTAAGTAGGCAACGTTTTGTTCAAATTGGGTATTTCATAGTCGGCTGTTCAGCGTTCTTGGTATATTTATAACCCAGGCGGACTGTGGTTTGGGTAATTAGAATCGTATTCAGTCAAACGGAAGCTGATGTCAAGTTTTATAAATGTAATGATGTGAAATTAATAACACTGTCACTCGCGCTGCTGCCAAATGATATAGAAAAGCAAGGATGCTAATTTTATTTTTTGGCTTTAAGTTGCCAAGTTTCCTTGGCCATTTTCTGACTCTAAAATTAAAGTCCTCTATAAGCTAATTTCCTGATTTAAATCTTAACCATTATATATTGAAACCCCTCCGTGTGCATGTTTGTGTTTAAAAAATATGAACTCGAAATATGCCGAAAGGAGTAAATAATAAAAATATAGAGAGGTAGAAAGAATGTGCGAGACTCTGTCTTTTTTTTTTTTTTTTTTTGTAATTTAATTTAATTTACATTAAAAAATATAATTTGTAAATAATGAAATATAATCAATAATTCATCAAGGTGTTCAGATGTTTGGCTGTTGTTTTGAATCGTTGATCTGAATTATTTGTAGCAGTTGAGTTTGAGTTTTTGAGTCTGAGTTTGATTTTGATTTTGAGTTGTTTTTTAAGTTGTTGCTGTTGTTGTTTATTGACTTCATTTCTGATCAAATCCATTGTGGACACATATATATGGCGAGATATATACATGCATATATATTTGTGGATATATATATTAATAGATTTATATAAATTGTATTGCTTCAGATAATTGTTGTAAATAATTTCAATTATTGTTTAGGGCGGGAGTCACGGGTCAGTGGACACTAGTGGACGTGTGGACACTTAAGCTTCGGCCTCAACCTCCTCCTTCACCTTGGCATCACCGGGCTTGCCCTTGGACCAGTCGGGTTTCTTCTGCTCATCATCGAATCACGGTTGCCAAATGGATATCATGACGGAATAAAGGAGAAAACAAAACGGTATTAGTAAAGTCATAATCAAAACGAATAAGCACATACAACATCTGGATGCTCGGTGCCGACACTAAAAACTACAAAGTGATCTACATATACAAGTGACGTGTGCTCCGGAAGGAATTATTATGGTAAGATGATCAATTTGATTTATTTTTATATTTTATAGTAAATAGTAATAAGATGATATTTTCGAATTTTGAAAATCAAATTCCCATCGTCCATATCAAATGAATCCATGGATCTTTTGGTATTTTGTGTGGAGTGATTTAGAGAGAAAGTGTGTGACTATAACTACTGACTAAAGACAGCTACAATCGTAGAAAGACAAAGACAGATCAGTGTGCGACAAAATAGATATATAGAGAGAAAGATATAGAGCGGGTGCACTCAGGTGCTCAAGGCAAACAGAAGGAGCTGGGTCACACGCACACACTCAGGTTCTTACACTTTTTGGCTTTATTTAGCACAGCGGCATCTTTTATCTTTTTCTAAATGTCACAGAAGAAATAGAGATATAAAGATCGGTGTAATGTTTCGATCATTGTAGAGTAGATATAAAAAAATTTTAGATATTAACATCCCATCTAGTAGTCCCCATTTAAAGGGTTTTCCCCCACTTACCTCCTTCTCCTCCTCCTCCAGCGTGAACTCCTTCTTCTTCACCACCTTGAGCTGGTTGCGGAAGTTGAACTCAGCGGCCTTCTTCTGCAGCTTGGCGAATTTGTTTTCGTATTTGGAGACCTTCTTCAGGGCTGGCTTGACGCTATATAGTTACAAGCAAAACAAATCGATCAATTATCAAATATCCAAACGATTATTTCGATAGTACTTACAACTTGCCGCGAAGATCGTTAACTTGGGCATTGAGATCGTTGATCTAAGGTTGGACATCAGATATTATTTGAGAGTTGGGAAGAGAGAGGTTATGTGATTAGTACGAGTTTATCGACTATTGGTAATCGGTCTATCGACACATAAAGCTACAGCTACGGGCGGGCAAGTATCAAGATCAAAATGCTGCAAGAATAAGTTCTTTCTTTTCGATAGGCAGGTTTCTTTGGGCATGCGAAAGGAAACAGGAAACATGGGTTGCAGACATATATAGCATACTCTACCATTGGCACTACCACTAACTCGTAATGCTAAGTACTAGGTGCTACTAATACTAGGGCGTGCTGGCGTGCGTGGGTGAGTGAGTGCGTGAGCGAATAAGCGAGCGAGCGGGCGAGCCATTCGTAGCCAAGTTCTCTGCGTTCTAAACTGCCTAGTGGGAGCGAGACGAGGATATGGTGGTAGCGGTTCGGTTCGATCGGTTGGTAGTTCAAAAAATTGGCGCTTTTCTCGCGCCTCTTGTTGATTGAACAGCATAACATCCAAATGTCGATTGCTTTTGCTTTAATGCTTTATTTGTAGTTTTATATAGAGTATTGTTCGTTTATACATATATACACTAGACAGAGATAGGATAGTCAAAGTGATCAAGTGACAGAGAAAGATAATTAGACAGTCGGAGTGAGTGAGACGGAACGAGCGAAGTTGGCCTAACTGCAACTGCAATGGAAATGGAATTGAAACGGAAACTGAGATTGAGATTGAAACTGAAATATAAACCCAATTGGGCGACTGGGCTGAGGTACTGCTTAACGGTATTCGTATATATCGTTATCGTAATCGTTTTTTTGAACGCTAATAACAGCCTCCTCTGCTTGCTCCCTTCGTTTTTTTGTTTTGTGTTGCTTTTTCTGCTTTTTCTTTTGCTTTTGCTTTTGCTTTGCTTTCTTGTTTCTCTTTCTTTCGATTTGTTTGTTCGGCTGCGCACGCAGTTTCGTTTTGGCATTTTTAACGGGTTCGTGTAATCGGTATCAGTAATCGGTATATCACGGTTTAGTGGACTAGCATTAAGTGATTCAATCGAGAAGTAATCGACGCTTGGCTTTTATGCTTTTCAACTTGGAACTCGGCTTTGCTTGCTTTGTTTTTTCTTTTCTTTGTTTTTTGTTTTTTGTACGGCTTTTCGCGGACAGGAGAGTAATAAGAAACACAGAAAAAAAAGTGACAGAGAGACAAAGATAGAAAGAGAGAGACAGAGTGTGAGCGGCAATGGGAACAATTTACACAAACATTATTTACAATGAAGTGCGGTGGCTTGGTGGGCGGTGGACAGTAGAGGGCGTGGCTGATCGGGATAGTGGTTCGTGGCTGCTGCTTGTCGGTCGTTTCGGTGTTTTATATTTTCTGTTTATTTTTTTTTTTCATGTACTGCTGCATGCAAAATGTTGCGTGCTTGCGTGCGTTGCGTTGCGTTTCGTGTGAGCGTGACTGTACTTTTCCTTTTTTTATTTTGTGATCGTGTGGTTTTGTGCTAGTGTGCTTGTATACTTTTGTGCTTGTAAATTGAAAACTTGTAACTACTGTGTTTGTGGACCGGACGCACAGACTGTGGTGCAGTTGAGTAATGGCGGTAACGCGTCGACAGCGGCACAAACAAATTTATTTTTGGTTATAGTTAAGAAAAAAAGAGAAATAACACACACACAAAACAAAGTTCACAAATGGTGCAACAAACTAGTTATCTTGCTGTTGTTGTAATTGTTGTGCAATTTACTAATACTACATATTGTTGTTGCTTGTTTCTTGTTGTTGTTGTTTGATTTGCTGTTCTTGTTGTTGTCTTTTTGGGAGGGGTGTTGTGTGACTGATGAGCATACTTGGATTGCCAGTTAATTAGATATTTTGATTGCAAAAAAAGGAAGTGAGAAGGTGCCATGTGACATGTTTGTTCGTGTGCTTGATAGCGGACTTAACCTCACTATACGTTCGGACATAACCTCACAGGGCACGACATCTGGTCACACATTGAGTTGAATTGGATTTGTCGACAGATTCGATAACGATTGACTGGTCTGGTTGGCAATCCTCGCGTTCTCAGCGGATACGTGTTTCCGTCTTGAGTTTTAAAGTTAAAACGTAAGTAACAACGGCATTAGGAACTTGAAATCGAAATAGAATTTAAACAGGGAGTAGTACGAATAAATATAGTCACGATTGTGTGCGCCCACCCATGCCCACATATATGCTTCTGTATATATATACGGGCTGGTGGTGGGTGGGGCACGAGTGGTTGGTTGTTTTGTGAAACAGTCAAAAGTAAAACAGATACAAACTAAGAGACATATTTTTGAGATGCGCATTCAACAAGTAAGAAAGAAACAACGGAACTGAACGGAACGGAAACGAACATGATACTAGAACTCAAATGAATACTTTAGATAATCAAATTCAGATTTTAGTTTTGATACAATTTTGTTGCATTCTGTCTTGGGTGAGTTGGTTTTATAATTATAATTATTATTATTTTTTTTTTTTTTTTGGTTTTTTGTTTGGTTGGTTGTTCTTTTGTATTCAGAGTTTTGACATTTATTGATTGATTGAGAACGATTTGAAACTTGAAATTGAAATTTTTGCAGTACCTCCCAGTCTTTTTTCCTGACTTCGTATTCCAGATCCCATTTCTGGCCTTCACAAATATACATACGCTCGTAATACTCTTCGCAAATCTCTTGCAATTCGCCTGCAAAAATATTTGATTTTCGGGATTTGGTTTTGGTTTGGCTTAAACTTGTTTTTTTTTTTTATCGACGTTCGACGTTTGGTAAAATTCTAAATCTAGGTATGACTAAAAGTAGTTGGTTGATTGGATTTACTGTTTATAGAGTTTTCTTTTGGTTTATCGCAATAATAGTTATCGATATCTTATCGTTTGTTGTTTCGCAGCTTCATTAGATGTTATGTGTTCGATGAGTTTTCATTCTTCGATTTTTCTGACTTGGTTTTTTTTTTCTTTTCTAAATTACTGTTTCAGTTTCGCAATGAAACGGAACGGAACAAATCGGATCGGAAAGAAACGGAAGCGATCGTTACGGTTTACGTTATTGGCTTATTGGGTTCGCGTTATTTCCATGGGCATCTCGTTTAGCTGGAACTTATTATTTGGGTTTGACAATTAATAAAAGTAGTTCCTTATTGAATTTCCTACAAGCTTCCACTCCGGCTAACCGAAGACCTGGCTTGGGGTAACGGCTGGGGAAGACAGTTCCCGTATCCGGACGAATAGACTATATACACGGGCGGCCCGGGAACTATATCCCCCCAAATCCGGACTGTTTGAAGCACGCGACGATGCGAGAAGAGATCTCTCTGATTCTGTATTTTTTTTTTTTTTTTGTTCTGTAGTTTAGCGCAGTTAAAACAATATCAAAATTAGGTAAACGAACAGAAGTATCGCAGTAAAAAACTAAAAATATGATTAGGAAATATTTAGAAATGAAATCAAGTAATTAAATCAAGGGCATAATCGTAAAGTAGAGTTATGATTAATAATCGATTTATATATATGTAAATATCTTAAATTTTTGTTTTTTTGCTTGATAAGAAAATAAGAAAAAAACATTCGATTTTGGTTTCTTTTTTTTTGTATTCGTTTTTTTTTTTTGGTTTTTTTTTTGGGTGCATGGCAAAACTTTGTAAATCTTTGGTGAATTTACCTCTTGGGCCTTGACTTTCTGCACGTGTTCTAAATCAAACTTATCGCCCTCCAAATTGTAAACGCGTTGCCAATATTGTTTGCATATTGTTTGCAGTTCGGCTGCGGTAAACGGTAACGGTAGCGGTAACAGTAGCGGTTACGAAACGGTAAACGTTTGACGTTTTTGAGAAGACGTAACGATAAAGTTCGTTTTGTTTGGTGTTTTTGCGAGTGTGTCGTTGTGGGTGTGTTTGTATTTGTGTTTGTTTATTTGTTTGTTTGTTTGAATGTGTGCGTTGGGGTTACGGATCAGAAAATAGAGATATAGATATAGGGTGAAAGTTTTTGGGAAAGACGGAAAGATATAGATAGAGAAAGATAGAGAGAGAGAGAGTGGGAAAAAGAAAAGGATTGACATGGAAGTAGTGACAGATATAGTTAAAGATACAGTTAAAGATATAGAAATAGATATAGACAGAGAAAGATAGAGAGTGAAAGATAGAGATAGAGATAGAGATAGAGAGACGACGACAACGACGCATTGTTTGTTTCGATTTGAGTTTGGTTGTTCGTATTTGGTTTGTTTGATTGTTCGATTGATTTGGTTGGCGCGTTTTCGAGAAAAAGAAGGATTAGATTAAGATTTGATTAATATAAAAAGTTATAGATTGAACTCGATCTTTATCACCTACAAATGTTCTAAATGTAAGACAGTGTTGTGTATTCGTTTCTTGGTGCAACATGAAGTGTCTGTAAACGTGTCGGTGTCTTCTCTTGTTTTCATTTTGTGCGTGACTGTACTTCTGTGATGACTGTACGTGTCTGACCTAAACTCTGGTCTGCACTTCCCTATCTCTAACCGTTTCGTTTCTTCATAACATATTCTTTTGTTTTCGGTGGGTTAGTAAAAGCTTTATCGAAAAAAGTACAAAAATAGTACAAAAATGTGTGTTGTTTTCGCTACGATATAAAAAGCCAAAAAACTTGTAGCGTCAAAAAGCTTATAGCTAAAGCCGTAAAAAGCAAAAACTGGCACAAATATGGTGACATCAAAAATAGGTATTGTCAGCATTTGTTGCACTCGGCTTGGGTTGTGAGTATTTTGAAAGCAGCGTAGTTATTTTCGATCTTTCCACCTTTTGGGTCCGATCTGGAAGCTCTTATATTACGGGTTAGCTGCGTTGACTAGGGTTCTACTTTCTATATGGTAAATACGATTTTCGGGTGCCAAAAAAAAACACCTCGATAATTTTTTTGAGGGGGCCTCGTTTTCACAGCTCTCTCCCAAAAAAGAAAATATTTCCAAAAAAGTACATGGTGTTAACTACTGTTTCTACGAATTGCTTAGTTTTTTGTTTTTTTTTCTTGTCCGCCGGACACACACACACACTAGTGTATATAATAGCTCCGAAATATTTGCATATATTTTTGGGCTGGTTGTGCTGCTGCCTCGGCTAGTGAAGTAAGTCTATATAGTTATCGACAAGTTCTACGATCTGCGAGAGATTGAAACTATTGGAAACCGGAGCTGCTTGCCTCATAATCCTTTCTGGCTACCTCGTACTCGAGATCGTACTTTTCGGACTCTAGTTTCAGTATCTTATTCTGGTAGTCCTTACAAGTACTTTGAAGTGAATCTGCGGAACGAAGTGTGGTTATCAAAACGGTTCTGGGTTTTGGGCTATGTGTTTCTTGTAGTGTGTGTGTATTTTGGTTTTTTTTTTTATTATTTTTTTTTGTTTGGTGTGGCTGTGGGTGAGTGTGTTTATGTGAAACTAATCTAAGCGACAAATGAGGCCTACACGTAGATAATCCTGACTGACTGTCTGGAGGGGCATATAGAAAGAGACCTGCATTAATCGGGTGAGTATACGGATATATATATAGACGGTGCTATTGAGCTTTAGAGCCATTGAGTATTCTGTACAGTTTTTAGTGCCTGGGCAAAAAACACTTTTCACGAACATATATTGAGTGTATTAAACATTAAGAGACATATCGAGAGTGAGATAGTGTGTTATAAAGAATATATATATATAGAAAGAGACAGCTAACAGAAGGTGTTTTATTTTTGTTGTTGTTGTTGTTAAGCGTTAGCTTTTGATTTTGATCGAGGATAGACTTAGACTTAGGCGTATTTAGGTGGCGTATAAAAAGTTGGTGGTGTTCGTGTACCTCAACATCCTTGCGTTTAACAACATACTCAAGATCATATTTCTGGTCCTCCAATTTATTAATCCTGTCATAGTGTTGCTTGATCAGAGATTTGAGTGTGTCTGTTCAGAATGGGTGGGTTGTTTTCATTTTCATTTATCGGAGTGGTTTGGTTTGGTATATGGGGTGTTGGTTGTGTTGGAGTGGGGTGGTTGAGTGTGTGTGTGTGTGGATCGATTGGATTTATAACGTGGGACATGGGTAGCGGCAAAAGAGAGATAGAGATAGAGACACATTTAGATACATGTTGCACACAGTGGTTCAGGCATTATATAAGACAATGGTTCCTCAGCGACGTCGAGATCCGATTTGGGAGGTCGGTAATCCTGTGTGTTAATGCTTCGTGTTTGTGTTTTTGTGTGTGTGTGTGTGTATTGGTGTTTTGTATGTATTATGTTTGTATGTATGCGATAGATGACACTTGTTCAACTTTCAGTTATCGATTTCGGTTTATGCTTCTCGACATTTGGACTATATATATATATTTATATATATATAAGCCGCCTGTCTGGTTTACTGATTGATTTCATTTATCTCGTTTATAGGCTTATTAATTTTTTATGGTTTTTACCCAATAACCAGGTGGAAGGATGTCGTCTAAGTACATCCCAGCACCTGGTTTAATGGGATCTTGACCACTCGATTCGAGGACCGAGGCTACTCACCTTCGCTGGCATCGCTGAGATTCCTGGGACTGCCGCAACGTTCTTCAATGATGCGTCTACGTTCAGCTGCTTTGCGTTCCTGTTCTTTCTTCAATTCCTCAGCGGCTTTCTTACGCAGCAGCAACTGTAGATGGAAGTTACATATTAGCAGGTAATAACATACAAGATCATAATTTGTTAAAACTTACCCTGAGCTTCTTCTTCCTCTCTGGAGTCATGAAACCCTTCTTGGCCTTCTTGGCCTTGGAGGCTTCCTCCATGCGCTTGCGCACCTCAGCACGCTTGCGCTCGATCTCAGCCTGTTTAGCCTTCTTAGCCTGCAAAATCAAACGAACATTCCCGGGATCAGCATTGTTAAACCACCTCCAAGAAACTTGACACAACACTATATATAGATTATATTCGAACACAGCACAGCACAGCACAGTACAGAACTTGACTTGGACGTGGACGTGGAGTTAAACGGGCACACACGTACACAAGTGTACCTCCTCGGCCTTCACTTTGGGGTCATTAGGATCCTTGGGTGGACCGGCGGGCGCGGCGGCGGCTGCCGGGGCCTTACCATTGGCTGCCGGAGCCTTGCCATTGGCCGCCGGAGCCGCCGCTGCTGCCGGTTTGGCCGCCGCTGCCGCTGCCGGAGCTGCAGCCGGTGCTGCGGCCGGTGCTGCTGCCTTTTTCTGTAAGTAAAATGAAGGATTTGTGATTAAGTTGGATTCCCAAAGACAAAGAGGCGTTGGACTGCACCGGAGAAAAAGGATTTTAGAAATCTAATTAAATTCTTTCAACAATTTGTGTTGCAAATATTTCTCCGGGCACAGTCACTAGCTATTAACAATGAGGGACAGCAGAAAAGCACAGAGACATAGACACACACTAACGATAACAGACATGGCTTTCATTTAGACTTGACAGTTATCATTATCTGTGCTCCTTAATCGAAAGGAAGAAATGGCTGGGATTCTATAAGTAGCAAAGCGCAGCGATCCTGTGAAAGCAAGAGAAAGGCATTTTGGCTAGGATTTGCTTGGTTTTCAAGTGAGGGTTCAGCAAGAAAAGCTATTTGGATTTCTTAAGTGCTCTGCTTACCTTCTAGCCACATCCAGTCAAAGAGTAATCCCGTCCAAATCAGTTCCATATCCAGTCACAGTGCTTGCCATAAATGTCCAACAATTTAAGTTAACTGCAGAAGAGGGCAAAGGTTAATTACTCCATATCTTAGTGGGGTCTTTGAAGTGGGCCATTAGCGATACTCACCTCACCTCATCATCAGCCATTTTGATTTGTGTTTTTGGTTACTGAAAGTAAGAGAAATCGAGAGGTGAACTCTAGGAACTGGAACTGGAGGTGAATGGTGAATGGAAATGCTCGATGACATCATTTCGATTGCCCTATATATACACGGCAATAGCTATAGACGCCGATATATGTAGGTGGATATATATATATATATATATATATGTATATATATATATATATGTTCCATAAATCTCTCTCTTTATGTATATTGCTATCTCATTTGCACACGCCTACGATCAACACCGTGGTCCCACAGTGCGTATGCGCAATGATGCCAGCATATGCGGCACATTACGTATACGCAGCGTTGGGCCATGCCGTATATGGGGGGGCAACCCCAGCAACGCTCATTTTCCCGATCTCTCTTCTTTCTTCGAATAGCTTTTCTTTCGCACATTTACTTTGGCGTGGGCGTCTATATGCCAGAAAAAGACCACAATATTCCTAGATTTTTCTTTTTTCTATTTTTCTCTTTTCGATATCCGATTTCAAGTGAGTGGCTAGAGAATATAGAAAAGTAAAGAGAGTGTAGAACCTCTCGACTAACCGATTTTAGCCAGCTGATCTTGTTAATGGAAAGTTACCTATGATGTGTTTTCTTTGATCGTTTAGAAAGTTTAACCATTTATTCGGTTGTAACTTATCAGATGAATGAATTTATATATGTATGGGGATAGTCTGTAGTGGAAATATAGTTTAAGATCGTTAAATAGCTTTTAAGTAAACATTATGATAGTATAAAAATTTGTCTGTAGAGGAAATTTAACGATTTTGTTTGGCTTTTGACTGCTAACTTTTACTCTGAATACATTTTAAGTTCTACATAGCAATGAAAAAGTAGGAAAGATTAGAAAGATTCATTATTAGATATAAGCCTGTGTAAATCCACCTACAGCTGATGTATTAGATATATCAAAAAATGTGTAGTTTTAGCTAGTTTGATCTAGAACTTACAGACTTATCTATGGTCTTCCCTAATTTCTCTTCTACATAAGTTAAAAACCTAATTAACTTCCCCTTACAATATCGAACTATTAAAAGTTACGAAATAATGCTGAAATATTTTGCCTCTATATATCGTTTTCGACCATATGGCCTGTTAGAATGAACAGCTAGGGGCCTAGGCGTATATTTAGCCTCAAGAATTTGAGTTGTCTTTGCGCACCTTAGCGAAGGTAAGGCGTGAAAATGTTCTGACAATCGACGACCTTCGGCTATGTGCACTGCAAGAAAAGCTAAGCGAATTTGAAGTATAATCTTCATTTAGCATAGATCGCCGAGTGAGTGCGAATGAGATGGCATCTATTGTATCTAGTATCTGTCTGATTTAAAAATAAACCTGTTGATAGATACACGAATTTCGGATGCGAGAAATATGGCAGCTATTTATGATTCGTTGTACAAATTTGTTTATATGTTCACCGAAAAAAAAAATATATATAATCAAATTGGAGCAACCGAATTCGTATCGAATATTAAATCCAAAAGTTCCGAGAGTATTTATCCAGATATTTAGCTATTAATATGTGTGCGTTTTTGTGTGTTTGTGTGCATGTGTATGTGTGTGTGTGTGTGTGTGTGTGTGTGTGTGTTGCTGTTCTCTCTCTCGGGATTTCATATTCTCGATTTGTTCTATTTTCAGGCACTTGCTGAGCATTTTCAACTTTTTCGAAATGTATCTTGTATCTGTGGGATACATTTTTAGCTTTCTGCACGCACACACACGCACGCACGCACACACACACACACACACACTGCAACTTCTTACATAATTGGCAAGCCAATTCAAGAAAAAAAAAACATCTTTCAAAAAAAAAAACAACTCAAGTCAAAATAAAGTTGCAAAGTTTCGTTGCATTTTCGGTTGCATGTTTAACACACTTTTTAAACTTTTCATCACTTGAAAAAAATAGTAAAAAAAACAGTTGGGAGAAAAAAAAAACAGATGGTAGAATCCTCTGGGCACACGCACGCGATTTCGATCAGGTCCAGATATATATCTGATATATACTCATACGCAGAAGATGTATGAGCAAGGATTGCACATTTGTTTGCTTTGCATTTTGCAGTTTTCTATTATGGTTTTTGTTCCTTTGCGGTTGTTCTTGCATTGTTATTTCGTTGTCGATGATGTTTATTATTTTCTTTCTTTCTTTCTGATTATTTTTTGTTTTTTTTTTTGGATGTTGCTCCGCTTTAAGCAAGCACTCACCTTCAAGGAATTAGAAAAAAAAGAAAAAAAATTCGGCTGTGCTGTCGATCACACGAATCGGATGATACTGAACGACACAAAAAGACTGAACGGTCCGACGATCCACGGCAGACTATATTCTAGCGGCTAGCCATCCAATGGATACAGATACGGATCGTGGATCGTGGATCGTTTCAACGTCCATCGTTTATCGTATCGTATCGTTTCGTTCCGAAAGCTTAACCGCCCACCTGCCCACCGTCCTTCACGAACGGGTCAGAGCGAGAGCGAGAGAGAGAGAGAGAGAGAGCGAGAGTGGGCACGGGGGCCGGGGTTATGTATCTGGGCGTGAGGTCTAAAAATAGTCACCCACCAAAACTGACTGACTGAGCAGTGCCCAAAATCGAAATGGATACCGAGTTAGTGTTCGGATGTTTCCGATCGCTCTACCCGACTATGACAACCGAATCCCGATCCCGATCGGCCCCATACCCCTGCCACTCCATCATCCACGAATGCACAAACATTCGACTACCGCTTGGAGAATCTCTGTATCCCCATCTGTGTATTGTATCTGCAGTCTATGTGTGTGCTGGTGTAAACGGAGCCGCTTGGAATTCAATGCAATGGATAAAAATAAGTTTTGCTCCAGTTGGGAGGCTACGCGATGGCAGTGCAGTCGTTGGTCTATAAGAAAATCAGGGACGGCGACTGCCTGCAATTTGTAGGCCTCCGATTTCGTCAGCCCTGGCTATTGGCTATAAGAACTTATTTAATAGATTGAGGGAATTTATTTATTTTATTTTATAGAATATAAAGACTGTCTTCAATATTTAGTTAAATAATTACTATAATTTAAGGAAAAGTATGAAGAATTTGATAAATCCCAACTGGGTTAAGTTTAAACGTATAAAAAGTAGTAGGAATTGATTGAATATATTGAAGTTACTTTCCGAACTTTATAATATAGGAAAAGATAGAATGATATAAGGTAAAAATCTGATAGATATCATGACTACTTCATATAACTCTTAACTAACTTTTAAGATGATTAATATGGCTGATACTGTTAGGTTGAGGGTGGAGGATACTGTGAAACAGGAATACACTTTACTAAAATATAATAGTTGTCATAATTTTACTGATTACAGTAAGGGAAATCCCACAGAGAGAGGTTGGTTGTTAGTGCTTTTTGTGCTACCTAAAAGTTAATCCATATTAATTAGTTTTCCAAAGCCATTTATGTTAATTTAAAGGTTTCCTTCAGACCGTGCCCCTTTGGACTTGATCTAGAAAGAAGTCTTTTAACGATCTCCTTCATGTTGTTCGGCTATTTATCTTGGATGCTGGCCGCTGACATAACTATAAACTTTCGGTTAGTGAATTCCTGCCGAATCGTATCTACATATAGCCTATATCCGTCATGTTAATATCAATGTTTTAGCTGTATTACTTTGGCATCGTCAGTCTAAATATAATGTATATGTACGGCGGGATATATATATGTATGTATATATGGAATATTCTATATATAAACGATAATGGTAAACTCTGCGAATGACGCTGCAACACACCTACAGAGGGGAATAAAATATAAAAAAGAAAAATCACGCATACGCCCCGTAGACAAAACGCCTTGCAACGTTTGTTGAAAGTAATTTTCAAATTTGCGCCGAGAACGAAACGAATAAATGTGTTTCGATCACGAAACCATGTCTATATATATAGATATATATATATATATATCTTATATGAATTTAGATATACATAGAGGGATATATGTGTGTGTGTGTGTTCCGATTCTATAAACTTTTTGTGCAGAAAACCAAAAACAAAATGTTGTTGAAAATAATGTTGCTTTCCCTAGCTCTTCTTGCTGTTGTTGTTTTTCTTTTTGTTCTAGCTCTATTTCGAAATGTGTTTTCGATGATTTCTATTTTGTTTTTCCCCATTTAAATATAGAACTTGGCTTCCAGGGGGTGTGAAATGGAAAAAGGGGGGTCTGCGGAAGGGCAGTGGGTTAGCGGTAGAGGGAAATGTTTTCGTTCGGATTCGTAGGGAACTTGATCAGTTCGTCTATGTCTGGACGAATCTATTTTCGCCTTTATTTTCGTTCAAAGCATTTAAAACAATTTCAGCCAGGCAGGCAGGCAGGCAATTTTTTGTTTTAATTTATGAAATGAATTTCGAAAATGTTTTTCTTTTTGAAAACATCTTTTATATTGTGCTTTATTTTTGGTTCTTTTGGGGCAAACAGGAAATATTAAAGTGGTTGAGGGGAGGGGGGAAGGTGGCTATAAATTTAAACGAATTAAAGTTAGTTGAAAGTAATAAGGAAAGTAATGCATGAAAGGGAAACAGAAATCTGTAGAAGTTTAGTAACTAAAAACCAGTTGAAATCTCCAACAAATAGCTAAAGAATTAACCCCTTACTGATCCCTTTCTTTCATTCTTTGGATTAATCATACTTAAGACTTCTTCATGAATATATATTTCTAGGTAAGAGCTGACTAAAGAACTTACTCTTCGAGGACTTAAGCAAATGATTATGGCCCTTGCCGATACAGGCTTAATTTGGGGTTAAAGGCCAACCATCGATGGTCAACTTTCTGCGAGTGCGTCAAAGCAAAACAAACGTCATAAGCCCCCTTTGAACCGCCGTTCAGCAACAGCCAGCACCAGACCCTCCCCTTGGCCACCCACTCTGGGCTTGGCCTTGTAATGTTCGCTCTACCTGACAACTATTTGTCGCTGCTGCTGTCGTCGTCGTCGTCGTCGTCGTCGTCGTAGTCGTCTACCCACCGAACTCCCCTCTTGTTGCTGCTGACCCATTTAGGGTTATATATACACAAACAGGCACTCACATCCTCATCCTCCCTGCACTATATATATATGCTATATGCAGTTGCATTATGTACGTACTGGCACTCATGAAAGCTGTCAGAATTTGCTTACTCCGGCAAATCCTGCGAAATATTTAAATAACACTGGCCAAGTTGGCCTCACAACTTTGCGAAGTTTTCAGAGAATTTAATTACATCAACTAAACGAATTACAGTTGCAAATACATTTTACATCGGTTGGTATTGGTTGTGCATCTCCCAAGGATTAACTACATTTGTGGCCAACTTTTTCTGGCCTTTGCTAAGACAAAGCCAAAGTTCGTTTTGTTTTACCGACGACACAAAGCAAACTTTACAACTGCATATAATTTAATTGTTATTTTGGTTGAAATTTAATTAATTATAATATATTTAATTACCAAGAACCAACATTGAAGTTGGGATATTCATGTTTAGTTTAAACTAAAAGGAAATTACTTTTTAATAAGGGAAAGGCTGAGATATCTATGAACTTTCTTCATTTCGCAGACTAACTTATGCTGTTAATATTTTGTAAGAAGTAGAATTGTCTAATTTTTAGTTAACAAAAATCAAAAATAAGCTTTTGAGTTGCTTTTTTCTTTTTAATTTATGAAACCCACTTAAGCCTGAGGTTTATTTTAGTTTTTCAGACATACATTTAGTTACTTCAATTTACTAAGGCAAAACTATCTAAAAAGGCATCTATATTTATACTGATATATATATATAATATATATTTTTTTTCCTTTTCATATTCCATATTGATGACGTGCAGCGGCACCACTACCAGCAGCCTGGCACACCGATGGCATGCGTGTGCAGCGGATAGTGTATTTGCACTAGTTTCGCCGCCAGTGACGTCATAGTTTCCACGGCAGACGTCATCGGCAGAGGCAGCGAGGTCAGTCCATGCAACATGCAACATGATGCAGGAATATGATATGGATTCCATGTGCATGCGTTCGTGGAAAGGAAAATGGCGCCTAATTGATTGATGGTCCAATAAGCTGAGGTCAATCAGGGAACCCGATTTTCGCCCGCCCCCCGGATCACACTTGGAAAATAGTTTCAAATTGAGTTCTCCTAACTAAGAACTCCTAAATCTAAGAACTTAAAGAATTGAAAGCCTTAAAAAATGTTTTTTTAGCTAAAGGAAATCTCTTTTTCTAATAATAAATCTGGCTAATATATATCAAAGATATAGTTTATTATAAGCAGCTGAGAAACACCTACTCTCAAAGCGGATTCCCTATTAAAATCATGCAATTTGTTTTTCCATTCAACAAAAATAGCAATTAAGCAATTAAATCCAACTTACGAGCATAATTAGTGGTAATGCTCTTAATTTTAATCCCAAAATGGTTTACAATTTTTTCAAAGTGCCTTTTGTGGGGCGGTCGGACGGACGTCATTGGTCTTCATTAGCCAAGGAACCTCCGCCGCCCGGCCTTTCCATCCGCATCTGTATCTCACTCTCTCTCTCTGCCCACCCACCCATATCGGCCACGAAGGACATTCAGCGGGTGCTGCACAATTTTCCACATTTTCAACACCACCCCCCAAAAAGAGGAGAATGAGAGCTTTTCCATTCACTGCTGACGTTTGCCACTCCGTTCCTGCCTTGAAATCCTGCAGTTTTGTGAATGAAAGTCTTCAGCGTCATCAATGGGCCTGCCATTCCGAGTCTCATTCCCATTACCATTGTCGCTGGGTGGGCGTGGCGCTATGGCAACAGAAATGCAAAAACCAGATAAATGTCAACCGAGTTAAGCTGGCCATGTGCATGCCCACTGTCCACTGTCCACTGTCCACTATCCACTGGCCATTGTCCACTGTGCCACCCATGGCAATGTGCTCCTTTTGTCCCGTTTGGCATTCAATTGGATCTGATTCCGGGCAACGGGAAACGGGAAAGGAGGTACTTTATCTGGCCGGACTTTGATGACTTAAGCGACACTATAGCAACAGACGACACTCAAACGGAAAGCCAATCCCCACGAGGAATTTAAAAAGGAAGTGGGCACTGGGATTGCAATTTGGATTTGAATGCGAAGGTAGTTGCATTTTAATTGATCCCCACTCGGGGTCGTCTCATTGTTCTATCGGTGTTCTAACATCACAGATGTTAGATGTTATCGGTAAATGCTGCTGAAGTTGATTTTCAATATGGAGAGAAAGGAGAAAGCTGAAAACAGAGCTTGACTTATGGGTAGGTACTTGGATCAGGTAATACTCCCTAAGCGGATTAGGGAGGATGGTTGGTGGTGAAAAGTTGGCTAATTAATGGAT